AGAATAGGGACGGAAATGGAAAAAGATGGCCCTAGCAAAATTAAAAGATGGAACATGGGATGATTGGAATGGGTGTTGCAATGGGGACATGTGGAATGACCTAGACCAGCCACCTAACAACCCATTGGCAGGGACCACCACACTGCAACCACCACTGTAGGATAAGAGCCAGGTTCTGGTAAATCCTAAACTGAGATCTAGACTGGGTCCTGTTAGAACAGGAGAAATAAGTGCACAGGAGCGAGAAGCAGCAAACAATACTGTCACTGGATTGGTAAATCATATGAAGGACAAAACGGAACAGTTCACAGAGCACATTAGGAGACAGGAGGTGCAACATGATTGCAGGGGAGTGGATAAAAAAGAATTTCAAAGTGAAAAATCAAGAGAGTGAGCAGTTTAACACCTAGAATTGATGCAGTATCACACAGAGTTACCCAGAAACAGTTAACTGCAGCAGGCAAGGACACTCCTGCAATCCATTTGGCATACAGACAAAAACAAGAGACACAAGGGGAACAAATTCAGGTTTTGGAAGAGCTGATAATCACCCCCCACTCTCCTCTCAGAGCCAGGATAAAAACCAGGGGTTATGGATTCCCAACTGCTTTAGCCCATGGAGCCCCACTCCTCCCGCAGAGCTAATAATATTACCTTCTTACTCAAATATTTATACATACCAGTTAAGTTTTCCTTTATATCTTCTCTCAGTTTGCTAAACTTGCTGCTGCTGCCTGTCCTTTAAGATAACTTGATAAAGGTAAAAACAATCTCTCTTGGCTGAGGTCTCCCTCCCCATCCTAGATTGCTCTTCCTTCCCCCCCCCCCCCCCACTTCTGCCCTCTCTTTGTTTTAAAAACTAAATGTAAAATTGTTACAGTTATTACAGAAATCTCCACTGCTAAAAAAAAGTGAAGCAACTGAAGACAAAGCAACACAACAAACAGAGAAAACAAGGTAAAAACTTCACTTTAATTAAGTCAGGCGAATTAATTATTTTAAGCCTTCAGGAATGCAACAGCTGAAAATACTCCTAACTTTCTTGAAGATATGGTTGCCAAGCAACAGAAATTCAGGTTTCTAATCCTAACCACTGACTAATATTTGAAACATGAGTTTTCCTTGTTTCCATATAGCAGTTTTTAAAATAAAGTAATGGAAAATTCCTTCAGTTACTAAATTAATATAGCAAAGTGGGCACTTAATTTTTATTAATTCTTATTAAAAAGAATTAAATGAAAAGGTAAATACTTGCTTATTTACATGTTTAACTTTTTCATTTACCTGTCTGTTTTCTAAATAATAATAATTTTGAGCTCTTAATGCCTTATCTTGTATAGTTATGAATACAATTCTGACACCATTCATCTTTAATTGTAAGTTGTCACGTATGTTGTCCTGTGTCCTTGTATTGTGTGTGTGTCACGAGTTGTTTGTTTTAATTCTGTTGCAACAAAAATCTATTTTATACTTTTTTTTAAATGTAAGTGGTACCACATTATTTTAATATTACAGTTGGGGTATAACCATCATACTATTATTAATAACCAACTAATTTTTGCAAACCTCAAAAATGCCTCATTTATAAATACATACGTATACATATATTTTTGCCTCAACAAATAATGCAACTGCAAACAAAAACAATTTCCCTTTTATTAATCATGGCTTTTTATTCAAAGAGAAAACTGTAAGGGGAAACTTCAACATTAATGCAAAGGTAACATTAACAAAATGTCAATTTCTTGTTTGGGTTCTTATAAAAGTTGTTTATGCATTAAATAATAAGATATAGTTATTAGAATGTTATAACAAAAATGGTTTAAAATATATTACAATATATACTATGTCTGGTTATGTTGCAAAATGTTAAAGCTAACCAAACAATTTCAACAGGTTTCCAGCTTTGCCTCCCAAATACAACCAAGTGTCATAAAAGTTTAATACTCTCAATGTGTTTATATAGACCTGCATTTAAAATTAAGTTTGGTTTACTTTTTATACTCTTTTCTTTTATGTTATGTTAAAAGGACATACTGGTTGTTAAAGTTTGTGCTTCTAAACAGTTAAAAGTGGAATTGGTATCACAAGCAAATTAACTCTGAAAAACTTGGATAAAAATTCTGTTACTCTTTTGCTAAAACAGAGTGCTCAGCAGGAGAGAGCAGTACACTTCTCAGAAGATTGTGAGCACCTATTTTAGCAGTCGAGAAGTATATTTATTATGAAAAATTAGTAATGCACATGTTAAGTGAAAAGGAACATCTATGCAACAACTGCAAAAGTATCTAAAACAGGTTTATTTGTGCTAAAGAATTGGGAAAATCAGAACAAAAGTATAGCTTGTGTTATAAAAGACTTGGTCCCTATTACACTGTAAACAAACTAAATTAAATTAATCTGTATATTAAATTTGGGTTACCAGAGAAATGTAAAACAAACAAGCAAAAATCTTTATTATGTGAACCAAGATAAGTTGTTTAAGGATGCATCCCACAGACCGAAGACAGCAGAAATTATCAGTACACAGTGAAGAAACGCCTGGGCATCGAGAAAAGAAAAATGAAGTTCTTTATAACTAACAGACTGGTCAACTACACCTCAGTCTACCATATATGGACAATTAAGTAGGCAATCAGCTAGAAACCACTGGACCAGGCCTAACTGTCATTTAAACTGTATATTATTGAGCAAGTGAATTCACGTGCCTGTGGTTTTAAATCCTTATCACTGAAGTATGGATGAATTTGGCTACTATGTAAAAAGCAACTGTATTATTGCTGTATACTTCTTTGTTAATTAATATACTAGCATCTTATCAGGAATGTGCACAAGACTGGAGGGCTGGGCAAAAGACTATTTGCAGTTTGGTATTTCTCAAAATAGGAGACTCCAAAATCTAAGCAGAATTATGGGTTACATTTCAAGATTATCTGAATCTGGAATATCCATTTGGAATGAGGGTAATATGAAATATATAACTATTTCGACCACCAGGCAACGGAACTGTCTCTGAACCTGTACTTCATGGTATGAAGAGCCTGGCTACCGAAGAAACAGTATCTCACTGACAATGTGCATGGCATTGCTGAACTGTTTATCCCAATACAAGTACAATATCAAGAAACTAACTGCAGCAAACAATATGAAGGCAAGGAAAAAACAAATTGGTCAAGAAATTATTTGTAATGCTTACGCATAAGCCTCTACACAGGGACCCCCTGGCCTGCAGCGTCAGATGGAACAACCAGGCCCCCCCCGTGCAGTTGTTCGGGACCCCCGGCAGCTCCCACAACTCTATGCGCCACGCAGAACCACTTGCAGACCGGCCTGCCAGCCCCCTAAATGTCAAGTCATGACACGGGGATCAGCCAATAGGAACGAGCGCGTTCGCGAACACAAGTAACCACCTCCCTACCCCCCCCATCATTCCCCGCCCCCAGGGTGCGGGCAGGGAACGATGGGAGTTGTAGTTCTGCGCCACACAGCTGCTGGACCAGCCCCGCCGATTGACACCTGCGCCTTCCAATCGGCAGCTGCCAAGGCTCTCGCCGCAACGGTTTGGCGCGAGTCTGCTGGGTTCGCGACCCTACTTTGCCGCGCGCCCGCAGGACCCCCCCCACTTCCCCTCCTCGCTCCTCCCACTTGGGTCTGGTGGTCTCCCTTTCCCCGCTCAGAGATCCCGGCCCCTCAGCATCTCCCCCCCGGGCCCGGGTGCGCCTCATGGCGCTGATGGCTGGCGTGATCCGGCGGCTGGACGAGGTCGTGGTGAACCGCATCGCGGCCGGCGAGGTCATCCAGAGGCCGGCCAACGCCATCAAGGAGATGCTGGAGAACTGGTAACGCGGCCGGGGGGGAGGGCACCTGCCCGATACACCCCCGGGCCGCGCACGCGGGCAGGGGGCTGGGCGGTTGGTGCGCGTGGCGGGGGCAAGCGGCAGTTACGCTCAACGCAGCCCGACCGGCTTCGGTCCTGGCGCCCGCCGGCGGCGCTCCGGTGCCCCCGGGCGCATCGCTGGGGTGCCCCCATCTCGCCACGGAAGCTGGGGGTGGCTGGAAGTGGCCGCGAACGTGCCCTGCGGCTGCCCTGAGGGCGAAGGGCAAAGGCCGCTCCTGGGGGCGGGAAACGCCACCCTTGGGGTTCTCCTTCGCGGGCGCTGCCCTTTAGTTAGGCGAGGGTTGCCAACCTCCTACTCACACAAACCCCAGCACCGAGGCCCCGCCCCTTCCCCAAGGCCCCGCCTCTTGCTCACTCCATCCCCCCCCCCCCCCCTCTGTCTACCCTCACTCGCTCATTTTCACCGGCCTGGGCGCGGGGTTGGGGTGCAGGGGGGGGGCTGAGGGATTCGGAGTGGGCTGCGGGTTGGGATATGGGCTCTGGGCTGGAGGTGTGGGCTCTGGGTGGGGCTGGGGAGGAGAGGTTCAGGATCCCCTGGTGGGGATACAGGCTAGGGAAGGGGATTGGGCTGGGAGGGGTTGCAGGCTCCGGGCTGCGGGGGTGGAGCTGAGGGGTTTGGAGTGTGGGAGGGGATATGGGCTCTGGGCTCCGGGTGTGAGGTTTCAGGTGTGAAGCCAGAAATGAGGGGTTCATGGTGTGGGAGGAGGCTCTGGGCTGGGGTAGGGAATGGGGGGGAGCTATGAGGGCTCCAGCTGGGGGGTGTGGGGTCTGGTGGCGGTCTGGGGATCAGGGATTTGGGGTGCACAAGGGTGCTCCAGGCTGGAACTGAGGGGTTTGGAGGGTGGGAGGGGGATCAGCGCTGGGGTAGGAGATGGGGGTGTGGGGTGGATGAGGGCTCTGGCTGGGGGTGCAAGCTCTGGAGTGGGGCTGGGGATGAGGGGTTCAGGGTGGGGGAGGGTGCTCTGGGCTCTTTTGTAGGGCAGGGGGTTGGGGCATGGGAGGGGGTTGGGTGCAGCCTCTGGGCAGAGCTTACCTCAAACAGCTCCCAGAAGCAGCAGCATATCCCCCCTCTGGCTCCTACACAATGGCACGGCCAGGCAGCTCTGTGTACTGCCCCGTCTGCTGGTGCTGCCCCTGCAGCTCCAATTGGCTGAGGTTCCCGGCCAGTGGGAGCTGCAGAGCCAGTGCTTGGGGTGGGGGCAATGTGCAGAGGCCCCTGGCTGCCCCTGTGTGTAGGAGCCAGAGGGAGGACATGCTGCTGCTTCTGGTAGCCGTGTGGAGCCAGGGTAGGCAGGGAGCCTACCTTAACCCCGCTGTGCTGCCAACCAGACTCTTAACGGCTTGGTCAGTAGTGCTGACCGGAGCTGCCAGGGTCCCTTTTCGACAGGGCAAACTGGACCCCTGGCAACCCTAATTTAACCCCTTGGTGCCTGTAGGCATCACACCCCCAGTGTGCTGCTGGGATTGGAGAAAATGGGCTAACAGTCCTTGACAGCATTAAACTGCATAACTCTTCCCCCCTCACCCCCCCCCCCCCTTACTGGCAGCTTTGGGCTACAAGGTTTATTGCATGATATATCAGTCAGAAAAGAAGGGACTGGCTCCCGGTGTCTTTGCCTTTTGGTGGCCTGGCTCCAGAATGGGGGGGGGGAAGAGAAAAATAGGGGAGACTGATGCCATGACCCCAAAAACCCTCACAGCAGCCATGCTGAAAGGTTAGACTCATTGCTGTTAGCTGTTTAGTAATTGTTATGAGAAGAGGGAGGGAGGGGGCATAATATAAATTGCAGTATAATTGCAGACTAGATTTCTTTGAAAGAAAATGTCACTTAACTGGACACTGAGAGATGCTTTGCTTTTTGCAGTTTGGATGCCAAATCTACCAGCATCCAGGTGATCGTTAAGGAAGGAGGTCTGAAACTCATTCAGATCCAAGATAATGGGTGTGGAATCAGGGTAGGTAAACCTACTGGACAGGTACAGGTTGGTGTAGTGCTTACTTGTGGACTTTGTTTTCAGACATTCATCATAAATTTTTCCCTGCCTTAAGAAATTGTGGAAATAGAAATGAAATGTTAATGTGTGTCTGTCTGTCTTATATAGAAAGAAGATTTGAATATTGTGTGTGAGAGATTCACTACAAGCAAATTGCAAAAATTTGAAGATCTGGCTAGTATTTCTACATATGGGTTTAGGGGAGAGGTAAGTTTATGATTAAGAGCTTTTTCATTGCTACTATGTGTTGTAAAGGGATGTAGTTAATTTCTGATTCCTGAAGTCATTTTTAAAAGATCGAGTTTCTTATGAGACTCCATCTTGGCGCTGAGTATGGTTGGTGTGCATGTGGGGGAGTGTTTAGGGTGGAGGTAGAGTGCAAGGAAAAGAGTGATGTGGAATCCAGGAAGTGTGTGTTAACTGCGGGGGATGGGTAGACAAATCTATTTAAGTGATCTGGCGAAGATTAGTTTTTGGGGTCACTTTGGTCCTCTTCCCCCATTGATATTTGAGCACTAGGGAGCATGTTGGTTCTCCCCCAGAAGAGATGGAGCAGTTTGGGTTGGGGAGAGTAAAGAGGAGGAGATTGTTGGAATAAGACCCAAGCTGTGGAGCCTCTAGAACTGCTGACTGAGATCCCAGGGTTGGCGGTAGTGAAGCTGACTGGTTTGCAGAGGTGTTTGGCCTCCTGGCAGAAGATTACAGTGCCACCAGCAGGATAATTGTGTCTGGGGTGGAAGAATTTTACATGTGGATCTGTAGGGGGACCAAGTTGGAGATAGAAGGATTAAGTACTGTCAACTCAGAATCACCTCCCCTCCCCTTTTATGCCTATGAACCTGGTAAGTTCCCCTGCCACTTTTGTGAAGGATGTGCTGTGGCAATGTGCCTTTAGAAAGAACAAGAAGTAGTTACACCCTTAAAAATTGCCATCATAGGATCTGTAGTGTGTATTTTATACTCAGTATAAGACTAAAACAAAACTGAGGAAATATGCAAAATAAAAGCAGGTTATACAGAAAATGCATTAATAAAAAGAGGTACTATGGTTTTGTTAATGCAGCTAAAAGCTTCTATGCAAAGGAAGGAATAATAATTACAGTTTATACCCTGTTATGTCTGAGATCTTAGAGCTCTGATTGCTGTGCAAACTGGGAGGGAAGGAGACAGCCTCATGCCCTGCTTTTTCTATCCATTGACCCACACTGTGAAGTTGCAAGCAAGTTAGGCTTCTCCTGTTGGCTTAATTTAAAACTGGCTCCCTTTGAGATCCACTCCCCTGAGCAGCGTGTGTTTAAATGGATTCACAGGGAGTTCTTCCCCTTTGACGACTGGCTGCAAAACTTAATAGTTATCTCTTTAACAAAAGTGATATCCCTTCTTATCACCACTTAATTTTAATTAGCTCTTCCTAGTTCCTTGATCATCCCAGTTCTTTGGAAAATCTAGGGTTTAGCCTTGTCTTTCAATCTCACACAAAATAATAAAATAAAATTAGAAGTTTTGAAAGCAATAAAAGAAAAAGCATATTGTGTCGTAATGCAAATATATAAATATGTTGTAAATATATTTGTTTCAAAACACATTCCTTGGTAATTTTCAACCTGAAAAGGGAGAGGGATGGGAATGAATTTATGCCCTTTTTGCTTTATGATGTATTGAGAAGACTAGAAATAACTTTTAAAATTTTAAATAATGTGAATTTTTAGGGCCTGTCTTTTCTTTTTGGGTGGAGATCTCCTGTCAAGAACCCAGAGATGTAGGCTGGGAGCTCTTCAGCCCTTAATTTTTGTTTTTTTTTTTTAAATATTTCAGTTTCTATTTAAAAAGGAAATCAAGAAGGTAAAAAGCTACTTCTGAGTAGAATCCTTTAAAGGAAAATAGTGCATTGATTAAGAACTGTCAAGCTTTTAATTATACCAGTGTCACTGGTTCTGTGTTAATACTTAGTCTATCCTGTGTTTGCTATTAAAATGTTGACATATACCACTTACAAGTAATTAACAAATAGGGAATATCGCAGTAACATGAATTACTTGCAAATGGTAAATGTCTACATTTTAATCGCTACCACTGTAGAAGTATTAATTCCAAAATTAATATTTTCTTGAGTGAGGTTTGTAAAAGTTCATTTTTTCCCCCTATAGGCATTGGCTAGCATAAGTCATGTTGCCCATGTTACTGTCACAACTAAAACTGCTGATGCAAAGTGTGCATACAGGTATGCTGTGTATTCACTCTCTTAAAAAGTTTGTGTTGTGTGTAATAAACATTTATTCTCTTTTCAAAGTTGTTAATAATATGGATGGTATCTTGGATACAAATAAAGTCATGGAAGGGATGATTTTAAGAGGAGGGCATGGTCATTCAGGACAGAGGAAAAGGGGAGTTTCAGGCATATGGGTGGCTACAAAAACAATGCAAATATCAAATGGAAGAAGAATAAAATGGAGCATTGTGGAGGAAGCTTGTAATAGGACTAGAGATGACAAGCACGGGGGTGGTAGAAGGAAGTGAGAGCAAAGATATAGGCAGAAGCACAGTTGTAGATCGAGTGCTCTTTATTCAGACCAGAGGCTCTCAAACTGGAAGGCGAGAGAAGTTTTAGAGGGGCGGGGGGGAAATATACTGCGCACATTTTACCCACAGCAATGAATAACTAGCAAAGCTGATTCCTCCAAACATATCAGGTCCTCAGATGGTGCTGTGCATTTGTCTCTAGATGGTGCTATGCATTTTTACAGATTTCTCTTAAGCTTGCATCGCATTACACAAAGTCATTGCCATCCATACGTTAATCCGTTTGCTATGATGCAGTGTGCACATTTAATGATAAGCATTGATCACAGTTTTGCTTTTGCTCTTATTGCAATGGATTGTTGGTTCTGTTTGTATCGTTACTGTTTCTAATATTTAGTGAGTTGTGTGTCGATTTTTTTTTAATCGGTAAAAAATTGTGTGGTGAGGCAGGGGCGTAACCTACTACAGACAACAGAGGGTTGCAGTCAAATAAGTTTGAGAACCACTGGTTCAAACTATAGAGGTAAGTAACGTTGCTGGGTTTAGCTAATTTAACGTAATTTTAAACCTTCATATAAGATGAACAATTCCTTTAAAGTAGGGCTGTGAAGCGATTAAAAAAATTAATCGCGCAATTGATTGCGCTGTTAAACAACAATAGAATACCATTTATTTTAAATATTTTTATATGTTTTCTACATTTTTAAATATATTAATTTCAATTACAACACAGACTACAAAGTGTACAGTGCTCATTTTATATTTATTTTTGATGACAAATATATGCTCTGTAAAAAACAAAAAAATTTTATTTTTCAATTAACCTCATACAAGTACGTTAGTGCAATCTCTTTATCATAAAAGTTGAACTTACAAATGTAGAATTACGTACAAAAAACCCTGCATTCAAAAATAAAATGTACACCTTCAGAGCCTACAAGTCCACTCAGTCCTCCTCCTTGGTCAGTCAATCACTCAGACAAACAAGGTTGATCACAATTTGCAGGAGATACTGTTCCCTGCTTCTTGTTTACAATGTCACCTGAAAGTGAGAACAGGTGTTCGCATGGCACTGTTGTAACTGGCATTGCAAAATATTTACGTGCCAGATGCGCCAAACATTCATATGTCCCTTCGTGCTTTAACCACCATTCCAGAGGACATGTGTCCATGCTGATGATGGGTTCTACCTGATAACGATCCAAAGCGATGAGGACTGCCGCATGTTCATTTTCATCATCTGAGTCAGATGCCACCAGCAGACGGTTGATTTTCTTTTTTGGTGGTTTGGGTTCTATAGTTTCTGCATCAGAGTGTTGCTCTTTTAAGACTTCTGAAAGCATGCGCCACACCTCGTCCATGTCAGATTTTGGACGGCACTTCAGATTCTTAAACCTTGGGTCAAGTGCTATATTTTTACAAATCTCACATCGGTACCTTCTTTGCGTTTTGGCAAATCTGCAGTGAAAATGTTTTTAAAACGAACACGTGCTGGGTCATCATCAAAGACTGCTATGAAATATATGCAGTATGCAGGTAAAACAGAGCAGGAGACATACAATTGTCCCTCCACGGAGTTCAGTCACAAATTTAATTGAAGCATTATTTTTTTAATGAGCATCATCAGCATGGAAGCATGTCCTTTGGAATGGTGTCCAAAGCATGAAGGGGCATACGAATGTTTAGCATATCTGGCACGTAAATACTTTGCAGAGCCGGCTACAACAGTGCCATGTGGACACCTGTTCTCAATTTCAGGTGACATTGTAAGTAAGAAGCAGGCAGCAGTATCTCCCGTCAATGTAAACAAACTTATATGTTTTAGTGATTGGCAGAATAAGAAGTAGGACTGTGTGAACTTGTAGGCTCTAAAGTTTTACACTGTTTTGCTTTTGAGTGCAGTTATGTAACAAAAAAAAAATCTACATTTGTAAGTTACACTTTCATGATAGAGATTGCACTTCAGTACTTTTATGAGATAAACTGAAAAATACTATTTCTTTTGTTTATCGTTTTTACAGTACATATATTTGTAATAAAAAATAATAATATAAAGTGAGCACTGTGCACTTTGTATTTTAAGTCAATATTGAAAATGTAGAAAAACATCCAAAATATTTAATTGTCAATGGGTATTCTGTTGTTATAAGTGCAATTAATCGCGATTAATTTTTTTGAGTTAATCATGTGAGTTAACTGTGATTAATTGATAGCCCTACTTTAAAGGAATTCTATTTTAGAGACCAATCTAGTGCAAACTTTCTTGTCCATTTTTCACTTTCAGATAAAATTATATAGGTAGAACTGGTTACTTGATATTTCCCATTATAAGACCATGTTTTCAGTTGCTTATGATTTTGCCAAACTCTTAACCACTGAAAATTTTCTTTGCTGGGTATATACCTCAGACTAAATTACTTGGGGAAATTTTACCCAAATTGGTTCAGCTGTTCCGAGAATGAGGCTAGGAAAAAATACATTGTTTTGTCCATGTTAAAAAAAAATTCTGGCAACCTTTTCTTTGATGAGCTTTAGTGAGCCCATGCTTTGGAGCAGGGAGTTAAAATTTGGCAAGGAAGTGGTCTTTGTGATGAGCCTTTTGCCATTCTGATGAAAACCTACCCAAATTTGGCCAAGTTATAAGCCTTTGAAAATTTACAGTTTGCATATGCTCACTAGAGAGTTCTTAGATTTTTGTCAGATAAATTTCCTGAAGATTCTGTCCACATTGGGCATGTTCCCCTTGGGCATATCAGTTATGATGCAATCTCTAATTACAACATTATATTTGAGGATACTCAGAGAACCTCATGGCTTAAGACACTCCAAATACGGTGGTTTTTTGTTCAGATTTGGTTTTTTTCCCCTTTCTAGGTTATGTCTTGCTTTATCTTATACAAACTGACTTACCTTGTCTCTCTAAGAAAAGGGTAGGTGAGATAATATCTTTTATTGGGCCAACTTCTGTTGTTGGTGAGAGACAAGCTTTCAAGTTTACACAAAGCTCTTCAAGTTTGGAAAACTAGAAGACCTGAAGAAAAGCTCTATGTAAGATCGAAAGCTAGTCTCTCACCAACAACAGAAGTTGGTCCAATAAAATATATTACATCATCCGTCTTGTCTCTGTAATATCATGGGATAAACATGGTTATAACATTGCAGCATTAAACCCTTTTGTTAACATATTTGTTTTTAATGATTATGACATCTTCAAATAGCTAACTGTTCTCTTTCTAATTTATTTTGTCTTCAACTGAAAAAAAAAAGTCCTATAGGTATCCATCCGGTACTTTGACCCACTGCCCCATAAATTAAAAACCAAAGGACTGTCCATAAATATGTACACCTTAGCCCCCACCATCCTCAGCAACCTTAATCAAGAGGGTAAAAAGATGGGCTTTGCAACACATTTGGGAGGTTCATAAATCTGGTCTCTGGCAAACCAAAAGGGAGCAGACTCTACAACTGAGGACTCCTTACAGAGAATGCCCTGCCACCAGTCCCCTTTTGTTTATGTTGAAAGAGCTTCTGCTCAAATCCCTTACCTGGTCTTAACTGTGGGGCTGGGGACGCGGGAAGAGGTGAATTCTCAGGTAACCTGGTCCCAAGCCATTTAGGATACCTTGAATTCCACCCTGAAGCTTATTGGAAGCCAGTGTATGTCACAGAGCACTGGTCTGATGTTGTACCCAAGTTGAATGCCATTTAATAAGAATGCTGCAATATTTTGCATTGGGCTGAGCCTCCAAGGTGTAGATTACAGTAATGTAATCTCAAGTTAACAAAGGCATTTTTACATGCAAAATGTTTAGAATTAGGTAGTTTTTAAATAAAGTGATAATAGTTATCTAAATTCTGTACCTGGAAAGAGATGTATATTGGCTGTCCCCGGTATCTTAAAGTTTGTTAAAATTTATGTGAATTTTGAAGAAAAATATTTGGCCACTAGAGGGCAGTCATGGTTTTTTAAAAAATGTTTTGTTTTACAGTAATGAAAATGTAGCAGTTTTTCATCTTTTTTGTTTTTGCAAACAGTGTTGTGAATATTGTTCCAGGAATACAAAAATGGGACAGTTAAGGAAAACCTGTACCAGTTAGCTTAAGTGAGAATCTCTCCTTCCATTAGAGATAAAGTTTTTGTTATAACTTAGAACTACTGTATTTCCTCTTAACAGGAAATAACTTTGTCTTATACTAACTATACAATACATAGGTAGGGACTAGAAACATGTACTACATAAACTGATTAACCTGTATAACTCACTAAAGCAATTACAACCTTCAAAGATCCTAACTATAATACTCCAATAGTGAAAATAATAAAGTGCACGTGTAGGTTTGTAAGATACTATATTTACAAGGCAGGTCTGCTAATCTAACTTGTCCCTTGCTGAAGCACTGTCCTATGGTCCTTACCAAGGAAATAGCTGAACCTCAAACAAAAAAGAAAGAGTTATAACCCCATCCTACAGCAGAGGATATTGTAAGATTCTGTTTTATTACCTGAGCAGGTGGGAGTGATTGCAAATCGATAAGAGAATAGAATACAATTGTGGCTCTTACTTGTCCACAAGACAAGGGAAAAAAAATTGCAACCAGTAAAAATAAAAATAAATTAAACCACATATAAGCTTGATTAATCATGCAGATTAGTAATTCCTTTCACATTGTCCATTTTATTTCCTCTTCACGCTTTAAGAATACTTAAAGTTCTCACTCAAAGACTGATATTAGAGCCCAATGTTTCTTGTATCAAAAAAATCTCAAATATTTGTTTTATATTCCTGTAAATATGTTAGTGACATAGAAGTTCAAAAAATGAAAAGTAAAACTTGGATAAAAACAAAAAACAAAAACCCCAACACTGACTGGAATGGCTTATTTCCTGAAACCCCCTCGCCCCTACCTGATTTTTCACAATATTCATGTCTGATCCCCCCTCCCCCCCAGCTACTTCAGTGTCTGACAACTATTTTTTTTTTTTTCTGATTAGAGCTAGCTATTGTGATGGAAAACTGAAAGCGCCTCCCAAACCTTGTGCTGGAAACCAGGGGACTCAGATCACGGTAGGTGGTGGTGGTGATTTGTTTCTTGTATTACCATAGTCCTAGCCCAGTTCATGGACCAGTACCCTACTGTGCTAGGTAAACACAGAACAAGATGATGATCCATGCCCCCAAAGGATTTAGGTTATTGTCTGTCTTTCTTGGCCTGCACATCTACAGCCTCATCAACTAAAAATGTATTTTATAATTGCCATGTAGTTTTTGTGACCTTGTAGAGTATTTTACAGATTTTACAACAACATAAGTGCTTTGTGAAATCTGTCCAAAGACTGTAGGGCAAATTGCACAGGCTTCTCTTCCTCTCTAGATGGTGGCAGTGTATAGTGACATGGGAGAAATATTTAATTTTGTTATGTTTGGGCTTGACATGTTAGCATTGGGAGAGTTAGGTGTACATCATATTTAAAACCATGCAATATTGAATCCCATCATAAACTTAATGGGACACTGGCTTCCAAATCCAGTGTTAGGTCTAGTGTGTTAGTTGACCTAGTCACCTAAATAAAGAATCGGTACATAAAACACAGATTAATATTGTGCAGTAGATATAGCAGTATGGGAAGAGAAGAGTTAGTGTTTTTTCCCATGCTGCTCACACTTGGGAGGAGCTCTCCATGAACATATGTAAAGCTACCTTATTATCTTCCTCCAAAACCCACTTCAGAGCTCTTTTTCTGTGATGCCTACAAAATACTTTACAACAATTAAAGTGCTGGTGTGCTGAGACCACTGCCTATCATGCTGACTAATAATGTCTCATTTTTAACTTGTACTCCGCCAACTGTCTATCCATCTTTTGTCTCTTGTTTTACACTTAGATTTTAAATTCTTTGAGGCAGGGAGTATGTTCTGTGTTTGTAAAGTGCCTTGTGCAAAGGTGTCTGGTCCATGACGAGGGCTCGGAAGTGCTATGTTAATACAAATAATTAATAACAATAATAGTGGTAGCAACTCTTATAACAAAAACAGGAAACTGAACTTCCCCTAATATTTATGCCTCTAGGAGTCCAACAGTATGTTTAATGTTAATTTGCTAATTTCATTATTTCAGTTGGTCCTAAATTCACAGAAGGGACTGTAGCGATGGATCTTGTTACTTAATTTGTATTGCACTAAAATACACTGAGGGGGAGTACTGTGTCTATAATTATCAACTGCAATGTACAATGTACTGCAATGTAGGGATTTTTACCTCAGAACTCTTCTTTGAGTGTTGTTTGATCTGAGGACCAAACACTGGTGAAATTTGTGCCTTCTTGTGAAACATACAGTTATCAAAAATTTTGTGATACTTCACTATCTTTCTCTAGAATGGCATTTTGTTAGGTGAAACTAAGCAGCTAGAGTACAGCTAGAACATAGAATTTGAGTGTTGTTCATAAATTAAAAGATGCCCAGACCATTTAGGTGATTTTATATCAAGAAGATTGGTTCAAATCAAATATGTTTTTTAAGTCTTGTTTCAATATGTGAAATTTTTTTTTGATTTTTTTTTTTTTTTTTAAATAGTGACACTTCTTTTTAATGCAGGTTGAGGATCTTTTTTACAATGTAACTACAAGGAGGAAAGCCTTAAAAAATCCAAGTGAAGAGTATGCAAAAATATTAGAAGTCGTTGGCAGGTAAAGTACTGAAATAAATAGCTCCAACTTATTTTATCTGTTGGGTTGCCTTTTTGTGTTGGTTAATGTAAGACAATCCCAATTTATATCCAAATATTTGTTTGTTAAATTAGAAACCCAAAATAACAATAGAAACCGTGGACATTACTTCCATGGTGGTGTCAGGCTGTCATTATATTGACAAAAATGCCACTGGATCAAATTGTGAGATCCTTACAAGAGTAAACTCCCATTAAAGCCAGATCAGAGTAAAAACTAAGCAAGGACCGTATGATTTGGCCAATTTTGAATGAATGCGTTGGGATTCTCACCTTCCCAGGGATAACTGAACAAGTCGGCCAATTTCCTTCTCCCTTTCCCAGAAACTGAGAGTTTATTCCATTTTACTGAAAAAATCACTAAGGGTGAGATGGAAATTTTGCTGTTCCTCGTAATGCTGGTCTGTCTGACATTGGAATGCTTTAGCTTTTGCCTAGAAGTGGTAAACTGATAGGTTCTTTTTAGAAATTATCATAATTTCCTATACTTGGAGTAAACTAGGTTGATCTTTAAATTTCATGTGGTTTGAGTGGGTCAGCAAACTGTTATACTCTCATGTGGCAGCTCATTTGAACTGAATTTCTTTTAAACTAAAGAAACTGTTGCTGTATCACAAGAAATGTAGTTATTTGTTCACATGGACTTGCTTGTTAACTACTTTAGTAGAGTATGGAGGGACATGCATTTATTCTTTCATGTACTGCAGTTTTGTTTTGTACTTGTTTTTCAGGTATGCCATCCACAACTCAGGTACCAGTTTTTCAGTTAAAAAGGTATGTAGAACCTTTGTAACTTCACATACTTACATCAATTAAATAAAGGGCCTGGTCTTTTGCCATGGATTTTGTAATGGGAACAGTCTGTGAGGTCGTTTTCTTTGCATGTAAAATAATTTGTTTTTCTGTAATCTGGATAAACTAAACATCAGTTTAAAATAATAAATCCAAATAAAAACTGAGCATCAACAGTTCAGATTTTTCCTTGAGCTCACAAAGCTAACTCTTAACCATTTTGTTTTCTGAGGTGCTTCAGGATGTAAACCAATCTCTAAGGAGTTAGGATGAAACATGGGGTGGGGATAGGTTGTCCCACATCTGCCTACTACGGGGTCTCTTGAATCTCCCTGTGAAATGATGTTGGCCTCTTTAGGAGACAGGATACTGGACTAAGTGGACTGTGGGTCTGATCCAGTCTTGCAGTTCTATGTCACCCCCTTGTTTGACTGCTTTCCCTATTCCTGGGATTTGCATCGTTTTTTTGCAGTTATTTCTTTAGGAATTTTCATATGTTGTTACAAATCCCTAAAACAAGAAGTCTTAAATCTTACCGCTTCTGAAATTTAAAATAAGAGAGTATCATATAACTGCTAGAAACTAGGTGTCTTTTTATCCAAATTGGAGTCAGGTTTGGTAGTGAACTTTTCCCAAACAAGCATTGTTTATACTATGAAACTTACTTTTTGCTGAAAGTTGTTATCAGTAACTGGTACAGCTGAACTGATGCTGACTGTGGTTTAGCTAGAAGTGTAGTCAAAGACAAACCATGTTGATATGACGGTGAAAGTAGCTGCCATTTATAGTAGAGCTTCCAACATTGCTACCACTGGTGGTGGTGTAAATTTTTTGTTTAAAAAATAAAAATCTCTACTGTAGATAAGATCCTTTTCTTTCAAATAGTGATGCAAAGGAGAAAGGCAGCCTGTTATGTGACTTGGAAAATCAGTCTATAATGAACACTAACAGAAACTTCATAACATTGAGGTCCTGCCCAATACTTCTTTATTAACAAATTCTTAATTTTCAATTGACAAACACTTACTAGCTGCTTCTAAAATATCTTTGTTCTTGCATGATTTTTAATGATCAGCCAGCAGATTTCTCAGGATTTACTTACAAATATAGCTTTCCTTTGGCTTATTTTTATTTCATTATATTTAAATAATGAAAAAGACCCTTGAATAAAGACTGTAGTTACCCTCACCATTAATGTTACAACATAGCATCAACAGTGTTTAAAAAGCAAACATTCAGGTAAGAGCAAAACTCATTTTGGTTAGCCTAACTTAGTTAGTTAGCCAGCCAATGACAAAAAAGCTCCTTTCTAGATCTGCGTTGTTTTGGAAACATGTTCTCGCTTTTCTCTAAAAATCCTGTCAAATAGATGACTTTTATAGCATGCTCAGAGGGTCATCGAATTCAGGCTATTTTGGACCAAGAACTTATGCTTCTCTCTATCATTTTAAAACAAAATAAAAGGTAACCAAAAGCACCTAAGTGACTTAAGAGCCCCAAACCCTTTTTTAAAAAGTCACATAGGCACTTAGGAGCCTAACTTCCATCACTTTCAATAAGGCTTGACTTTTGGTGGAATTTAAGCAAGTACCTAGGTCACTTTTCAAAGTGGAACTTTGGTTCTTAAGTCACTTAGGTGCTTTTGAAAATGTTCCCTATTTGAAAATGTTACCTAAAGACTTTAATGCTATTAAAATATTGTTTATTTGGCAAATGAATAAACCATATTTCTTGCATTCAATAGAAGTTTTCTCATGAATAGACCACTCATGTCGCTCTTCAAACTTGCACCTGGAGCAGTTGCCCGCTGTCCCCATATCTTGCCACAACGCATTCAAGCACTTAAATGTTGCTGTTACAGCTATACCTGCAATACTCTCCTAGTATAGATGCAGTTTATACTGACAAAGTGCTTTTGCACTGGTTAGGCAAGTGAAATAAGCTATGCTCACAAAGCACTTTCTTGCTGGTATATCTGTGTATACCCTAAGGGTTTTCCCAGCATATCCCTACCAGTAGTGCTAAGCCAGCAAAAGTTTCTACTGTACACCTGACTTAATCTCCTCTTTGCATAAATATCTACAGACTTTTAAAAAAAGCAAAAAATCACACACACACACACACAACCTTCAGGCAAAACAAAAATTGAGTTTGTGTCCCATATGTTTTTGCAAACTCAGTAGAAAATGTCTTGCAGTTATTGAATAGATTTCTAAAACTTCAATAATAATTGTATTTGTAAACATAGTAACACTAATTTCTTTTCTCTTTAGCAAGGTGATACGATGGCAGATGTTAGAACCCTATCAAATGCCACAACAGTGGACAATATTAGGTCCATTTTTGGAAATGCTGTTAGCCGGTATGTTGACCATAAAGTTGTTTTTAAATGAAATCTTATTTTTTAGCTCTGCTTAAAATAAATAATTAAAAAGACCCAAAATCTCTGTGATGATCAGAGTATTTCATAGTAGTATGGTGCAAATGAATGTAGCTATTGAGTTAGCATACTACACTATTTAAGTTAAGATAAAATAACATAGGGTATTACTACCCAGCAGAGGAAAAAGCTGCAGCTGGCCTGTGACAGCTGACTCGGGTTCATGGGGCTCTGGCTGTGGGGCTGTTTCATTGCTGTGTAGGCCACTGGCCTCGGGCTGGGGCCTGGGCTCTGGGACCCTGAAAGGTGGGAGGATCCTAGAGTCCAGACTCCAGCCTGAGCCCAGAAATCTACACAGCAATGAAGCAGCCCTGCAGCCCAAGATCTGCTAGCCTGAGTTGCCTGCAGGGCCAGCTCCAGGCACCAGCTTTCCAAGCAGGTGCTTGGAGCGGCACTGAGAATGGAGTGGCAGTCCGTGTCCCGCAGCTGCAATTCGGCGGCAGCTCTGCTGCTCTTCCTGCCGTGGCGGTTTTTTGGGAGGCAGTTCCGCCGCTCTTCCGAACATGGCGGCAATTCGGTGGCGACTGCTTGGGGTGGCAAAATTGGTAGAGCCGCCCCTGGTTGCCTGGTATGGGCCAGCCATGGCTGTTTAATTGCTGTGTAGACATATCCTTAGTAGCCACTGAGCTGTCCAGGAAGAGTTCCATGGTGAAGAGGCCTTAGATCATAGGTTGGCAAACTTTTTGGCCCGAAGGCCACATCTGGGTGGGGAAATTGCATGCAGGGCCATGAATGTAGGGCTGGGGCAGGGAGGGAGTGTCGGGTGTGGGAGGGGATGTGCTGTGCAGGAAGGGGCTCAGGGCAAGGGTTGGGATGGAGGAGGGGTGCAGGGTGTACAAGGGGGCTCAGGACAGGGGGTTGGGGTACAGGAGGGGTGCTGTAGGGGGCTCAGGGCAGGGAATTGGGGTGCAGGAGGGTGCGGGGTGTTGGGGGCTCAGGGCAGGGAATTGGGGTGCAGGAGGCTGCGGGGCTCAGGGCAGGGAATTGGGGTGCGGCAGGGGGTTGGGGTGCAGGAGGGGTTTGGGGTGTGGGCTCCGGCCCGGCGCCACTTATCTTGAGTGGCTCTGGGGTGTCAGTGGCATGTAGCTGGGCTAAGGAGGGCTCCCTGTCTGCCCTGGTCCTGTGCCGCTCCTGGAAGCAGCCGGCACCACGTCCCTGTGGCCCCTAGAGGACTTGGGGGGGGGGGGCAGAGGGCTCTGTGCGCTGTCCTTGCCTGTGGGTACTTCCCCCAAAGCTCCCATTGGCCACAGTTTCCTGTTCCTGGCCCCCATGGGAGCTGGTAGGGCGGTGCCTGCAGTGGGGGCCGTGGGGACGTGGTGCCGACCGCTTCCGGGAGTGGCGCGGTATACCACGGGGGTGGCAATCCCATGGGCTGGATCCAAAGCCCTGATGGGCCAAATGCGACCTGTGGGCCATAGTTTGCCCACCCCTGCCTTAGACTGTATTAACTTTTCAGCAAATTCCCTTCAGGTTTAATGAAGATGGGGAAAGAATGATGCACATTGTACAGCTCTCTCTAACCTCACAGAAGGGTCTTTCATGTATCCAAGAACAGGGTCAGGGGGAACTAGGAATATTTCCACATAAGTGTCTGATCTTCCCTGCAATGTGCGGAAAGGGAACTGTCTGTACCTGGAGAGAATCTTCTAAACGCTGATCTTAGAGGATAGTTTGGCCCAATATCTTCTAGAAGTGCCTACACCTCCTTTATTGAAAAGCTCCTCTCAGTATTTCCTCCTATTACACCTTACTCGTTAGAACTAGTAATTCCTTCAAATGTGCTTTTCTGAAATCTTAAATCTGTATTTGTACATTGACTATAAATTCGAATTAGAGGTCTCATTGAAGAAATCATAAGAAAGGGGTTATAAAAATATCCCCTACGCCAGAAAGTCTCCACAGTAGTTGTAGGAAGAATCCCCTTCCATAAAATGCTTATCTGCATACATTTCATAGAACAGTTTTGCAGAATGCTTTGCTGCCAACTCTGTTGGACTCCTGCCAACACTGATAGAAGGGTCAGTTTGATTCTGTTACTAACATTAGAAGGAATGGAAGGAAGCTGAGGAATGGAACTGACTGTGTGACTTTAAAAATCACGTTAACTCCTTTCTAGGGAGCTATAATGATAAATTACCTAGGTTTGATAAGATTTCCTTGGCCAGTGTAAATAGGATCTAACTGTGCTATAAGAGTTTTACAAACTGCGATGGAGACTAATATAGTTAAGACCTGTCAGTACTAACCAGGGAAAATGTTTAAGCACTCTCTACCAACATCCCACCCCTTAATGCAGATCAGATAAAAGTGGAGACTGAAAAGGTATGTAGATCATAGTTTCAGGAAAAGTAATAATATTCAGTTATGGACCCAGTGACAATTTAAAACTCTCTCTTGGTTTCTCAATGCTAGTAACATGTGCCTTAAACCTTGCAAGTACTAAAATTCATGCTTGCCAGTGATAATGTAACAGTCATTCCTGTTCCTAGGTAGCCACAGGATATTGGACAATGTGGCATGTTAATTTATTGAAAAGCTATGAAAATCTAGATAATTTATAGAGGCTTTTGAAATTTTTCTTTCTAATTTTACTATCAATTTGAGGGTACATGGTAAATAAGACTACTTGGCTTCATTATTTGTGTGAGTAACAATTTTATGTACCAACAAAGAATGTTAAGACTCCCTAAAAGGATTCTGATATTGGGTAACTATCACATAAACAAAACATCTGCACTGTTGTCATAGCAGTGTTGTTGTAGCCATGTTGGTCCTAGGATATTAGACAAGGTGAGTGAGGTAACATCTGTTATTGGACCAACTTCTGTTGGTGTGAGACAAGCTTTTGAGCTTACACATAGCTCTTCTTCAGCTTACACATAGCTCTTCTTCAGGTCTTTGAAAGGCACTCAGAGGGTCACAACTAAATACAAGTTGGAACAGATTGATTAGTTTAAGGAGTTAACACGTATTTCAAAGGACCATTCAAGGTCAGGGCACTGGCTCCTGGGAGCTCTGCTTTCGCCACTGCGGTTCCTGGTAGAGCTCTGCAGATACTGATTTATATCCACATGGATGTAAATTTTGTATCCGCGAGGGGCTCTAGCTATCAGGGCATTTAGTGCATTGGATGAGATACCACATGTTGCGATAGGAATGTGCAGGACCCATGGATCTTGAAAGGTATATCGTGGAAGGTGTTGATCATTACAGCATTGGATATATGTCTACAGGTTTTGCATCTATTGTTCTGGCAGGATCTGGTGCTGCTTTGAGTTTGTGTGTCATGGTCTGTGTGGAACTTGCTTCTGATGATGAGGTTGAGGAGTTGTTCGAAGGCCAGAAGAGGGATTTCAGGAAAGATTTACGTGGTCCCCATAGAATATGGGTTGTGATTGTTTGATACCCTGTATGGGTTCCAGAGTGAGGTGACAACTAGGGATGTGCAGTCAGAGTGGGGTTTATTTCTGTAATGAAGCAGGTTCTCTTGGGCTATTTGGCCCATTCCGTGATGCAATTTATTTCTCTGTTGGAGTGTCCTTGTTTGGTGAAGGCGGTTTTAAGTGTGTCAAGGTGTATATTTTGTGGTATCTGAGTGCCTGGCTGCAGATAACAGATTTTTGGTGTGTTTGGAGTGCTTACTGGATCTGTGAAGGTGGGTGTGGTGATCTGTGTGTTTCTTCTAGATATTTTTCTGTAGTGTTCCATTGTTGAAGTGGATCATGGTTTCCACAAAATTGATGCCAGTGTGAGAGTTTAATGGATGGGTAGTAGTTGTGGTGGAAATCTATGAGGGAGTTTAGGTCATCTGTCCAGATGATGAAAATATCATCAATGTATCTCAGATGTATCATTGGATTCATGGTGCATTTGTCCAGAAATTTTTCTCAAGGTGGTCCATGAAGAGGTTAGCATATTAGGTAGACATCCTAGTACCTGTGGCTGTTCCCATGGTTTGGACAAAGTGTGTGGTGTTGAATGTAATATTGTTATGGGTGGGGATAAAATGGAGCAAGAGTTTGGTGGTGTGTTGGGATGGCTATCTGACTACATTTCCTAAACAATCTGCACCGCCTTATACTTAGCTTTGACACTCAGAGTACACTTCCCAGACTTGAAGAGCTCTGTGTAAGCTCGAAAGGTCTCTCTCACCAAGAGAAGTTGATCCAATAAAAGATCTTACCTCACCACCTTGTCTCTCTGTATAACCAAATTCATAATGGTGTATTTCTACTTGCTAGTAATGTAACTATCTTAAACTCATGTCAATAAAACCTTTGCACAGCACCGCATATTTTCATGTATTCTTTTTCAAAATAAAAACTGTCTACAGAGAACTGATAGAAGTGGGCTGTGAAGATGGAAAGCTGGCCTTTAAAATGAAAGGCTACATAACAAATGCAAATTATTCAGTGAAGAAATGCATGTTTTTACTCTTCATAAATCGTAAGTGTAAAGAAATTTGTACAGTTTTAAATACTTTGTTTCTTTTTGCATAATTTTGAGCAGAGTGTACATCCATTTCTTTCTAAAGAACAGCAGCATCAAGGCTTTGAACGTGCACCTTTTTGAAAATCACATTAAGGGCTAAATTCTGCCATTGGTGAGATCTTGTAGTAAGCAGGGAAGTCGAAAGTCAAACCAAATGTTTACCTGTCTGCAGTGTTTTGTGGTCTGGAGAGTTATAGAGTGGCTGGAGCCAGGTCCAGCCTACAGCAATCCATGCGTACCATGACACAGAGTTCTCTGTGGCTCTCCCTACCCCCACTTGCCATAGCCTTCTCCACCCAAACAGGTAGAGGCATGGGGCCACCTCCTTATCCCAGGAGTGGGAGCAGGGGCCTTCCTTCCTTAGGGGTCTCTTCTGCCCCCCATCCCCTCGCCCCCCACAGCAGCAGGGAGGTTTCCCCAAATACTTACTCCTGAACTGGAGTTTATCCGCTGGAGTGGGCGGGCAGATTGGGTCTGCTGCACTTTTTTCCTCCTGTCATACATAGAATCCTCTTCTGGGATAATGTTGGCAGGGCCACCTAGGGTAATGGGATTGTGGAGTTAACACTGCATTAAGATGCATGGGGCAGTTCTGAGTTATTGTTTCTATCATTGCGTCAGTTGCTCAAATCATGTTTTCAGGCTTTACTTCTAGCCATAAATTTACTTAAAAAAAAAAAAAAGAGAGAGAGAGATTCTGACATAATCGTGTGACTCTAGGAACAGGTGCCTTAAACACAGACCTTCAGTGCCTATATCATAATCCAGCCCTTGCCAGAGCAGGGGGATAGGTTTTATTCCTGTCTCACACAAGGATTTAAACTGTTCCCTGTTCTGGTCACTAAGGGAAGACAGCTTTCTTATCTCCTTCCACCTGAATATGCACAGAATGTCATCCAGGCTAAGTGACAACTGCTTTATCTGAGTACCCTCGTTTGTGCTGCAGGCTAGAGACACAGCTTAAAAGATAGTTGCACAAAAGATTAGCTCTGGCAGTGTTCTCCAAAAACATCACATTGCAAAAAGGTCAGAACACTTGTAACTCTTGTGTTGATCCTCTCATATTAAAACTGAAATAATTTTGAAAATTTTACTGTTGTTTGTAACGCAAGTTAAAAAAAATTATATGAAGGGGGAAAAAAAAAAGAAAAGAAAGGGAAACTGACCATATCCTAAGAGGACTAGGGAAGAGCAAGGATGGAATAGTAAATGGAAAGTGAGCAAAATACCTTATGGAGCAATTTTTAACGACCATAGATTTATATCAGTGCTTAGACACTATGGAATAGATGCTACTGGAAAAAAAAACTTCAGACTCTTGTACAGCATGAAGTTTTGGGTATAAGGGAGTACTTACGCACTATGTAGTGTGTTTAAATGTGCTGTTTGGACAAGGTGTCACAGAATGCTTTCCCATGATTTTCCCCCTTTTATTATTCATTCCAGATCGACTGGTGGAGTCAACCGCTTTGCGGAAAGCCATAGAAACTGTATATGCTGCTTATTTGCCGAAAAGTACACATCCATTCCTGTACTTAAGGTAAAGTAATAAAAAGTCTTAGGGCTTGTCTTTATTCTCCTGCTACACTGGCAATGCGGGACGTCTAATGTAGCATGTCTGGTGAAGATGTGCTATGTCGACAGGACAGCGTCTCCCGCTGACAAAGCACAATATAGACAGTGCTTTAAGTCTATTTAACTTACATCACTCGGGGATGTGTGTTTTTTACACTCCTGAGCGACGTAAGTTACATTGACTTAAGCAGTAGTGTAGACAAGCTCTTAACCTCTAATGCCTGTCTTTGTAGAGCTAGCCAGAGTCCGTCATCAATAGCTAGATAAAGGTAAGGTGGGCTTCAAGCTACAGCATGGGGCAGTTTATTCCCAAGCACGTGGTAACTGAAAGTGTGTTTCTTTCATCCTTTATAGACTAGCAAGTCCAAAACACTAAAGAAAAGGCTTGATTTTCCAGAAGTGTTGAGCACACACAACTCCAGCTTCAGTCTGTTGGATTTGTGGGTTTTCAGCACTAAAAATCAGGCTCCCTGATCTTTTTCACAGCAAGAGCAAAACTCCATCTGTCTGCCTCTCTTCTTGCTAAGAGATAGCAGGGAGCAAGAAGGCTCTTGCAGGGCTCTTAGTAAGCAGTGAGGAAAGCTCTCCAAGAAGGCAGGCCTGGGAGAGACTTTGGAGAACCAAAGACTGATTGAAGAGTTGCAGAGAGGGTGGAAATTTTTTGTTGTTGTTGAAAGATAGTTTTGAACTTTAGTTGGGACAAGTGTGACCCTGGAAGGGATGGACTAAGGACTGTGATCTGGGTAGCTGAGTTACCCGACAGAGAAACCACCAAAGTGCTGGAATGACCTACAGCAACGGCGCTAGCCCAGTGCGGGGCTTCTGTATACTATGCCTTGTGACAAAGGGGTGGCTAGTGGTGAGTAGACTGTGTTACATGTGTTCACTGAAAAGGTGACAGTTAGCTTCAAAACAGCTTTTAGAAATATCATATAACAAAATTAGTTCATTAATGGGCTGATCCAAAGTAAATGGAAAGAAACGGGTTTTGAATCAAGCCTCTTAGTATTTAGTAGATATCTAAGTATCAAAACAAGTAAGACTCCACTGCAATATCATTAGTTTTGCAGGCCCATTTTAGCTGCCTGTGGTAGGCTTATAGCCTCAATTGACATATCTTGTGCTGAGCATATTCACACACACTCCTCCATCAGTGGGATATTTTTCAGTTAGTTTTCCTTTAAAATGTTTTGCAGCCTGGAAATAGCCCCTCAGAATGTAGATGTGAATGTGCATCCTACAAAGCACGAAGTCCATTTTCTTCATGAAGACAGTATCCTAGAGTGTGTGCAGCAACATATAGAGAGCAAATTACTGGGCTCTAACTCTTCAAGGATGTACTTCACCCAGGTGAGAATATAACTATTAAGAGATGACACGTCTTCACTGTGTTAATAGCCTGTAGTAGCTAGTATTCTAAATTCAAGATTAGAATCTAGTCTGGGCCAGATACTCCTGTTGTACTGTGGATAGTCTCCTGAGAGCTGTGCTGTCCATTTATGAAGTATGTTTGCCAACATTTATATTTTAAAGTGGCACTGTCAACTTCAAATCTACAGAAATAAGACAGAGAAAAAAACAGTGGCAAGGAGACTTAAAGTCAGTGTACCTGAAATTACTTTTAACTTCCTCCCCCAAACTGATTAGATTTGAAGTTGACAGTGTCACTTTAAATATAAATGTTCTTATTTATATAGGACTTTAAGTCTCCTTGCCATTGTTTTTTTCTCTGTCTTGTTTCTGCGTGAAAGACCTATATAAACAATGGAAATGATTATACACAAAGTGCTGTCAAATGCACAATGAAAACAGACTGAAAAAAATATAAGGAAAAACATTTTTCTTTATCTTTCAGTCAGTCATCTTGGGTTTTCAAATAACGAGAAGATATTTTCAGACAGAAGGGTGAATTTTAAATGGACTCTTATTAATGTTTAATCTTTTACAGTGTATTAAATTAATAGATTTACTGTTATACATTTATTCAATTTAATATTTAGGTTTATACTTAAATACTAACTTACTTAAGTAGAATCATGTATTTATTTAACACTACCAATTTTTGTTTTTGCATAATTTTGTTAATTTCAAAATATTGTATTTTACATACATACAAAGTAACTATCTAACCTAATAAACACACACATATAGGTTAGGTTTTTTTACACTTCTAACACCAGGCAGGACGAATACCAAATATAGTATAGCATTGCTAGGGATAAAACTCTTGTTTATTATAATAAACAAGCACATAAAAATGTGTTTAAAAAGTGATTGGATTATATTTCTAAGATTATAATTCTTTTGTAAGTAGACTATTGTAAAATAGTATCTAAAGAATAATAATTTTAATTAAATCTCTTTTAAAACAATTTTTAATGTGTTTATTTGTTATAATACACACAGGGGATTGCATCTTCAGAACATTTAAAGATTAACAATTTCTTAACAATAAAGATGATTTCATTCGGGTGAAATTCACCCTGGGCAGAGGGTCCGCAAGCACTTAAATTGGTCTTAAATGAGATTTAAGGGGCCAATCATACAAGGGTAAATGTCACCTTTAGAGAGATACATAAGCATGTACAGTCTCCTGATGACGCTGAATTTCTCCTCTGCTCTCCCCTCCCTCCCCCATTTTTGCAATGAAGACTTTGATCCCAGGAGCTGAATGCTCTTCCACTGAGGTTGTTAAATCAGTAGCAAGCTCCTCTTTCACAGCTAAAGGAACAGGTGATAAAGTCTATGCCCACCAGATGGTCCGCACCGATTCCCGAGACCAGAAGCTGGATGCTTTCCTTCAGCCTACAAACAAACCCTTGAGTACAGGGCATACAGCGGTGACCCTAGATGATGGTATAGGACTTTCTGATGGCAGATCCAGACAGCGGGATACGGAAATGGAAGATCTCAATGACTTTGATACAATAGTTGCTGCACAGGGGGATTCAGTGATGACACCAGAGGGGCAGAAGGAAAGTGGAAGGCTGACTCCTGAAACAGTCCCTACTAGGTAAAAATCTATGCTTGATAGTTGTATTGTTGTCTTTATATCAGAGTGGATAAAAATTGATGTTTTTAAATTTAAAAAATATTTTTAATTTAGATCAGATATTTTAAATTTATATTAAATATGTTTTAATTTTAAGAAGTAAACCCATTGAAAATTAAATTTTAAATTGGCAATGTATGTTAAGGCCTAAAATTATAATGTTTAAATTTTTAAATAAAAAAAATATTTAGCAATACCTACTTGCTGCCAAGTTTTTAAAGAAAGTCAGACCACTTAACTGGTGGTAGTCACTTGCTAAGCACCTGTAATCAGAGTTGTTGAAGTGCTAAACCAGCTTTTGACAACAGTAAACTTTTCTGCGGGTGTAAACAATATTTTCTCAATCTTAGTTTATTCAACTAGTAGAGTTCAATGAGTAGTTCATTCAAAGCTAAGAAACTAGTTGCATTTGAAAAATCAGGAAAGCTCTTTTCCCCCTTCCAATCTATGAATAAAAACTAGATGTGAGAGGATGAGATCTGCTAGTTCTAAAATCTTGATGGATATGGTGATGAGAAGCAGTCGGTTCAGTTCACTGGCTATAGTTGATACTTCTTTTGTTTAGTAAATCTATTAATTTTAAATGCAAAATATGTTTTTTATCCAGAACATTTAAGAAAAATTAAATGCTGTTTTTGTGCATTTTATAATTGAATTTCCATCCAAATAGAGTTTGATACAAATGGCAAGTAAAGCAAATTAATATCTAGTAAATAAGAGTAAATAAGATATCTAGTAAATATCACTCATTATAAAAAATAATAAAATTTAGAATCTGAATAAATGTAAGTTAAGTTTTATAGTTGCTTAAATAAATGTAATAGGTATAGTGCATCCTTCTGGTTAGCAAAAAGAAGCACCAAATTTAGTGTAATTAGTTGCATATCAACATGTTTTAATAGTTACCAACCAATGAGAATCAGCTTTTCTTTGTGAAAATAACTAAAATGTACAAATACAAAACAATATTGATTATTCAAATCAAGGTTTTCTGGTTGTTGATTTGAATCATGGTTAAAATAGGTGATTTAAATCGGTTCACCCTGCTGTTTATGCAGGTGTGCAGTCAAGTTTGGGTGCCTTTTTAAGAAAAAGGGATCAGGAAAGCTATAAAACAAAATATGAACAAATATTGTCTTGAACTTTCATGAGGAATTAAACTCTTTTTTAAACCATAACACACAAGCCTTGAGCTGCTGCTGGAGAATCAGAAAGTGAAAATGACCGTTTTCCAAGGTGAGAGATGAATATAAAGGAAACAAACAGCATAAATGGTGAAAAGTAAATAGGGTATGTTTTATTTAAGGCGATCATGTATGAATCACAATCCCTTATGCTCATGTAGGGAGGATTAAGTATAGGAGGAAACTCAATGTGCAGGGAGGTTACACAGTGTTCCTTCTCCAGTCTTGCAGATATTCTCTATAAAAGATAATCTGACCTGGGGCTATTTAACTATATGCAAAACTCTTAAAAGAGGATTCCCAGAGCAGCCAGTCAGGGGAGGCCCTGGTAGTAGGCCTTGTCCACTAGAGCTGCTCTGACAGTTTGTCCAGAGCTATCAGGGAGAGAGCTTATTTTTCATTATACTGAAGAAAATCAAATGTAGTTAAGGAACACACAGGAGCTTTTGTGGTATCTTCTTGAGGGACTGGTCTAACTCCTGTTGAATTTGATGGGTGTTGAGTTGGGCCTTTAAACAGTTAATTTGTCCAATGTGATTAGTAAGATGGATCCCTAAATAGCCTTGACAGTTGCCCTGTTTTGTCAAATAGTGCCTTGGAAATTAACCAAAACAATCTTTCTTTCTTTGAAAGCTAGATGGGTTTTCTGATTGCGGTTTAATGTAGGGTTACCACACTTCACTGCTGCGTATATACTTGTATATCATCCTAATGAGCTTTGTCTCTGTATTGCAGAAAGAGACAGTGGACAGGCTCGGATGTGGAAATGGAGGAAGATGATACCAGAAAGGGAATGACTGCTGCCTGCACCCCGAAGAGAAGGATTATTAACCTAACCAGTGTGTTGACTCTGCAAGAGGAAATTAGTAGCCAAGCACATGCAAGTATGCAAGTCAATTGTTCCTCAAGATGGTTATTTTTCTGACAGTTAAACACATGATTGCTTGGACTACTTAAGATAATTCTATAGAAGTGGTACAAGAAGTCTGTTTGTTACGAAAGAAAGCTTGCTGGGGCTTTTGTACATGTTTCTTTAGCTTGCAGATTGACCTGCTAAACCGGAACCGTATTCAATTAATCCAACTGTCAGAGCAAAATTTGTATTAAGTTTTTTAAACCATGATGATCTGCTTCTGCACAGACATTTTCCACGTAGAAAGGGAGAGGTGCACACTTTATGTCTAAGGGCTGGTTTACCCTTTAGTGAGCCTGCATATTAAACCACATTACTAAACAAAATGCGCTAATTTAATGTAAGGCTTTTTTCCATTCCAGATACAGGTATTCACTCACCCCATAGATCAACAGCCTGCAAAATTGCAGCCTAAATGGCAAGGTTCTGTTTCAAGGTTTGCTCTGGATACAGGGACAAAGTGAGATTTCTTAAACAATGGAACTTTTGTAAAACAAAAAGATACATTTTTTTTTCTTTTTTGTTCTCTAATTTGCATGCAGAGATGTTCAAGGGTAAGCCATGTTCACAGGAATTTTTTATTGCCTAGTTGCAAGTCTCTGAAAATAGATTTATAGTGGAAACAATGATGGGACAGATTAATTAAACTGCTGTAGTTTGTGCATGCCATTTTTACTTGAATGAGGAAAAGGGAACCACTTTCATTGTGACAGGTAAAATACTATTCCCATCTTGCAGATGCTTAGGGCAGTTTCCTCTCAGGTGGTGTTTTACTTTGCATCTGCTGCACAGCACAATCCTTGTTTGTTAGTGAGATTTAAATGCAATAGGAGTGGCATCCATTCAAACATTCCAGCCCTATTAAGCTGGTCTAGGTATTGGAAATCATATGGCATGACAGTTTTTGTGTAGTTAATTTTAATTGGTTGGTAACAAGGTTCAGGGAAATTCCACAGCTAAGAAGGCCAGCATCTGTAGATAACTGCGTTAGCTGCTAAGGCTAAGAAATCTTGACTCCTAGCAATCAAAGGGTTTAATAATGATCTACTGAAACTCCTCAATGCTGGCTGCTAGTACTGAGTGCAAAATGTCATATCCTGGTGTATCTAGTTCACCCATTCAGTGCTTAAATATTAAGGCTTTGTAGTTGCAGCTATTTTGTAGCCACCAAAAAACTTCCCAGAATGATAGCAGTCAGAATTTGAGTAACTGTTCCATTTTGTGTTACCTCCATTAAGTCTCTGAAATACATACCAGAAAGGCTTGTAAAAGTGAAATACATCGGTGTTACTTTCACCCCTGATGAGTTATAAAAGTGTCAGAAGACTTACCGGTACGGGGGCTGGCTCCAGCCCCTGAAGCGACAGGGCTGGGAGCGGGGGTCAGCGTCTCCCCAGCCAGCCCCTCTACACTGCCTGGCCTGTGCTGCCCAGGGCTCCAGTGGCGATTTAAAGGGCCCGGGGCTCCGGTAGCGGCCCTTTTAAATCCCCGGACTTGGGGCAGCTACTCCTTTTGCGCCCCCCCCCCCATTGGCCAGGGGTGGGGCAAAAGAGGCAGCGGCGTTAAAGTGGAACAGAGCTTCATTTGAAGAGTCTCACTTTTTATTATAAGCTCACTTTTTCTAAACAATGAGGACAGAAATTTCTTCTGGAAAAGCAAATAAAAAGCTAAGAACCCTGATCTGCGTATATACTTGGTATCAGTGGTGAGTATAGCCCGAGTAGGAACAACAGCAGGGTCAATTTTTAAATTGGATTTTATTGTGGAGGGGATTTTTGCATTACCAGCTTTCTTTTAGGCATGTTTGGTATTTATTATTCTTTTCCAACCAGGAACTTCTCCAGTAAAATGTGATAAAATTCAAGTAAAATATTCAAGATTTTAATTTAATTTCGAATTTAATAGAACCTTTCTCATTCATACATTGTGTTTATCTATTTTAGGATTAAACTATTGGAGTGTTTAGAATTTCCTTGGTAGTTTTTAGTTTATTATTTATTTTGGACTGAAGTGTATAGTAGTGATTCAAGTAGTAGTTTGAGATTTTCACAACTTGAATAATCAAGATACTTTGCAGACTATAGCAGATCTGGGCTGGGGGGAATTTATACGACCTCATGTTGTTAGATGTATTATTCCAGGTCTTCAGGAGATGCTACGTGATCACTCGTTTGTTGGTTGTGTTAGCCCACAGTGGGCACTGGCACAATACCAGACAAAGCTGTATCTTCTCAATACCACCCAACTCAGGTAAACATACTGATTCATGCTGTTAGATGTGTTAACAACTGAAATAACTGGTGAACACAACTGAGTAGTTAAAATAAGAAAGAGGTACAAAGGTACTGTGAATACTGCCTTTGAAATCTAGCCAAATTGTGATTTGATGAACACTCAAGTGTGAAAGACCTCAAATTTTTAATCATCTTTTTTTTTTGTATTGATCCTGCAAAATGTATGGGCTACTGCTACATCATTAAAATGCACTTTACTGTGTTGTGTCCCACTGACTAAAATCCCAGAGGATGAAAGGAATTTGATTGTACATCACACTTACCGATACCGTTCATTTGAATAGCTATGTTATTGAAACATCAAGAAACCTAATTCTTTTAAAATCAGTTCTGTGCCTGATTACAGAGCCTGCAGAATATAAGGACAATGCAAATTGTATGTGTAAACCTACAAAAAAAAAACCTGCCAAACCTAGGCCCTGCTGCCTTGAGGTATCAAGTTATGTACAGTCTTTTATCAGCACAGAATCGGAGTCCTTTTCTCCCAGGCTAACACCACACAGTTCGGAGATTAAGGGTTTGTCTCCACAAACATTTAGTTCTCAGCAAGATAGGCTGTGAATCTACCCTGCAGTATGCAGATCTGATGATGTGTGTTGGTTGTTACAGTGCTTTGGTCTACCCCTCTTTGAAATGGGATTAATCAGAGTGCATTAATGAACTGTTAACCTGCACCAGCAAGATCCACACAGGCAGGTAGAGCACCACAGGCTTGAACTAAATGTTTTTATAGACAGGCCATGAGATCCTAACACATCAGTATATAGAGCTCTAACAGGCTGTAATAAGGTTCATTCTGTAGCTAAGGCCTTGTCTACACTGGCAAGTTTCTGCACAGTAAAGCAGCTTTCTGCGGTTTAACTCCCAAGGTGCACACACTGCCAGGCCATTTAGTGGTTTGTTAGGTGTACTGCTTTTTTCTACGATTCTGCCATTGCAAAGGAGAGAATATGCATATGACAAAAAATTAGACAGAAATGGTCGTTTCAATAACAAATAAACTCTTTTCCTCCAATTCAGCCAAGAACTCTTCTACCAGATTCTTCTTTATGACTTTGCAAACTTTGGAGTTCTGAGGTTGTCAGTAAGTGTAACTTCCCTTCAAATCTTATATGCAGGTTTTGGAGAGAATGATCTGATACAAAAGTTTTAACCTCACATATATGGGTCTGGTAGCTCACATAATTAATGACCACCTGTAAAAAACTGGTCTAAGTGAATTGTCTAGCATCACATAAGAACTCTTGGGCAGAGACAGAGCTGGAATTCTCTTGGTCAGGATTCAGCTACCTTAATCATCCTTTCTCTTCCTGCAACCCTCTGCCTTATTCTGGTAGTGGTTGCTTTATTATTAGTGTCAGATTCTGTTCCTTAAACAGCGTCAGTGTTTGTTAATGTACTAGATTGTGTAAAAACATTCCTTCTGTTTTGCTCTAGCTTCATCAGAAATGTATTAGGAAGTGTTAACATTTGGCGTTTAATATGCCACTGTATTTTGCAGTGGTCTTTAGAGAAGGGAGTGTTTGTAAAGATACTTCTGTATTCTCCGGGGGAAAAAATAATTGACTGCTTCATGAGGAACATCTGGATTTTGAAGGGGTGAAGTGTATGGGTGGTAGTGATGATTGTATCGTACCTCATGGTCACTTACAGGAGCCAGCTCCACTGTATGATCTGGCTATGCTAGCCTTGGAGAACACTGAAAGTGGCTGGACAGAAGAAGATGGCCCAAAGGAAGGACTTGCTGAATACATTGTCGAGTTTCTAAAAAAGAAGACTGAAATGCTGAAAGACTATTTCTCTTTTGAAATTGATGAGGTGACTACTGCTGTTGCTTTTATGTCATAAGGTTATTTGTCTAACTCTTAGGTGTTGGTAATGCACAATAGGAATCTATATTTAATATTTTTGATTTGCTTTAAGGCTAGTACCCACCTGATAAATACAATCACTTACTGTCCAGCAAACAGCAGTGTGTTGATATGGCTAGCAGGTAAATCATAGATATTTCAACATGTAAAGAAAATGTTATGCTTACAGGATGGAAACCTTACTGGATTACCCCTCCTGATAGACAACTATGTTCCACCATTGGAGGGACTACCTATGTTTATCCTTCGCTTAGCCACAGAGGTATGGTGCTGTTCAGCAGTTAGTTAATGGGGAAGCTAACGAGTCTGCAAATGTTACCTTTTTTCTTCGTCGTTTTTAGATGTTCTCTAAAATTAAATTACTAATAGGCAGGCATGCAATAATTCAACCACTAAGAAATTCACCAGAAATTGATGTGGGGAGAAGAGTTCATACAGAATGGCATAGGCCCAGTTCTGACAGAAGCAGTTGGTGCAAAAGTACAACTGCCAACATTCTTGCCTCAAATGACCATACACAGCATTTTTAAATATCTGCCAACATCGTAATTATCATATTATAATGGTAATACAGATGCTGACATAGGGGCTATGCTCTAAACTTTCTCTTCTAAAAGGAAAACTGCACTGATTGCTTAAGTCCATTCATTGCTAAATACTCACTATATAAGAATACATTAAAATGAATGGTTTCAGAGGAACAGCCGTGTTAGTCTGTATTCGCAAAAAGAAAAGGAGTACTTGTGGCACCTTAGAGACTAACCAATTTATTTGAGCATGAGCTTTCGTGAGCTACAGCTCACTTCATCAGATGTTTACTGTGGAAACTGCAGCAGACTTTATATACACACAGAGAATATGAAACAATACCTCCTCCCACCCCACTGTCCTGCTGGTAATAGCTTATCTAAAGTGATCAACAGGTGGGCCATTTCCAGCACAAATCCAGGTTTTCTCACCCTCCACCCCCACACAAATTCACTCTCCTGCTGATGCTAGCCCATCCAAAGTGACAACTCTTTACATAATCAAGTCGGGCTATTTCCTGCATAGATCCAGGTTTTCTCACATCCCCCCCACCCCCATACACACACAAACTCACTCTCCTGCTGGTAATAGCTTATCTAAACTGACCACTCTCCAAGTTTAAATCCAAGTTAAACCAGAACATCTGGGGGGGTGGGGGGGTAGGAAAAAACAAGAGGAAACAGGCTACCTTGCATAATGACTTAGCCACTCCCAGTCTCTATTTAAGCCTAAATTAATAGTATCCAATTTGCAAATGAATTCCAATTCAGCAGTTTCTCGCTGGAGTCTGGATTTGAAGTTTTTTTGTTTTAAGATAGCGACCTTCATGTCTGTGATTGCGTGACCAGAGAGATTGAAGTGTTCTCCAACTGGTTTATGAATGTTATAATTCTTGACATCTGATTTGTGTCCATTTATTCTTTTACGTAGAGACTGTCCAGTTTGACCAATGTACATGGCAGAATAGGTCGGAATATGAATAGGTCGGAATATGAACAAGAGGCTGCTCGGCAGCTCTCCAACACGAGTTTCTACAAGCCATTACCCTATGATCCCACTGAGAGTTACCAAAAGCAACTACAGCATTTGCTCAAGAAACTTCCTGAAAAAGCACAAGATCAAATCCGCACAGACACACCCCTGGAACCCCGACCTGGGATATTCTATCTACTACCCAAGATCCATAAACCTGGAAATCCTGGGCGCCCCATCATCTCAGGCATTGGCACCCTGACAGCAGGATTGTCTGGCTATGTAGACTCCCTCCTCAGGCCCTACGCTACCAGCACTCCCAGCTACCTTCGAGACACCACTGACTTCCTGAGGAAACTTCAATCCATCGGTGATCTTCCTGATAACACCATCCTGGCTACTATGGATGTAGAAGCCCTCTACACCAACATTCCACACAAAGATGGACTACAAGCCGTCAAGAACACTATCCCCGATAATGTCACGGCTAACCTGGTGGCTGAACTTTGTGACTTTGTCCTTACCCATAACTATTTCACATTTGGGGACAATGTATACCTTCAGATCAGCGGCACTGCTATGGGTACCCGCATGGCCCCACAGTATGCCAACATTTTTATGGCTGATTTAGAACAACGCTTCCTCAGCTCTCGTCCCCTAAAGCCCCTACTCTACTTGCGCTATATTGATGACATCTTCATCATCTGGACCCATGGAAAAGAAGCCCTTGAGGAATTCCACCACGATTTCAACAATTTCCATCCCACCACCAACCTCAGCCTGGTCCAGTCCACACAAGAGATCCACTTCCTGGACACTACAGTGCTAATTAACAATGGCCACATAAACACCACCCTATACCGGAAACCTACTGACCGCTATTCCTACCTGCATGCCTCCAGCTTTCACCCTGACCACACCACACGATCCATCGTCTACAGCCAAGCTCTGCGATACAACCGCATTTGCTCCAACCCCTCAGACAGAGACAAACACCTACAAGATCTCTGTCAAGCTTTCTTACAACTACAATACCCACCTGCAGAAGTAAAGAAACAGATTGATAGAGCCAGAAGAGTTCCCAGAAGTTACCTACTACAGGACAGGCCTAACAAAGAAAATAACAGAACGCCACTAGCGGTCACCTTCAGCCCCCAACTAAAACCCCTCCAACGCATTATTAAGGATCTACAACCTATCCTAAAGGATGACCCAACACTCTCACAAGTCTTGGGAGACAGGCCAGTCCTTGCCTACAGACAGCCCTGCAACCTGAAGCAAATACTCACCAACAACCACATACCACACAACAGAACCACTAACCCAGGAACTTATCCTTGCAACAAAGCCCGTTGCCAATTGTGCCCACATATCTATTCAGGGGACACCATCACAGGGCCTAATAACATCAGCCACACTATCAGAGGCTCGTTCACCTGCACATCCACCAATGTGATATATGCCATCATGTGCCAGCAATGCCCCTCTGCCATGTACATTGGTCAAACTGGACAGTCTCTACGTAAAAGAATAAATGGACACAAATCAGATGTCAAGAATTATAACATTCATAAACCAGTTGGAGAACACTTCAATCTCTCTGGTCACGCAATCACAGACATGAAGGTCGCTATCTTAAAACAAAAAAACTTCAAATCCAGACTCCAGCGAGAAACTGCTGAATTGGAATTCATTTGCAAATTGGATACTATTAATTTAGGCTTAAATAGAGACTGGGAGTGGCTAAGTCATTATGCAAGGTAGCCTGTTTCCTCTTGTTTTTTCCTACCCCCCCACCCCCCCAGATGTTCTGGTTTAACTTGGATTTAAACTTGGAGAGTGGTCAGTTTAGATAAGCTATTACCAGCAGGAGAGTGAGTTTGTGTGTGTATGGGGGTGGGGGGGATGTGAGAAAACCTGGATCTATGCAGGAAATAGCCCGACTTGATTATGTAAAGAGTTGTCACTTTGGATGGGCTAGCACCAGCAGGAGAGTGAATTTGTGTGGGGGGGTGGAGGGTGAGAAAACCTGGATTTGTGCTGGAAATGGCCCACCTGTTGATCACTTTAGATAAGCTATTACCAGCAGGACAGTGGGGTGGGAGGAGGTATTGTTTCATATTCTCTGTGTGTATATAAAGTCTGCTGCAGTTTCCACAGTAAACATCTGATGAAGTGAGCTGTAGCTCACGAAAGCTCATGCTCAAATAAATTGGTTAGTCTCTAAGGTGCCACAAGTCCTCCTTTTCTTTTTATTAAAATGAATGTTCAGAAACTTTAAAAAAGATTTTACTTTCAAAGATAGGCAGACTTTTAGGCTATGCTTTGCTTTCTCTGTATCCTAACCTTACACCACCAAATGGCCAAGACAGTAGCCTATTTTGACTTTTAATTAACCAGGCATTAAGTTGACTGACTAGTAATTAGCAGTAATGTTCCTTCAAAATTATTTCAGATTCTGAAACAAAATGTCTGCTCTTATCAAATTTCTGCTTTGACAGGTAAACTGGGATGAAGAAAAAGAATGTTTTGAAAGCCTCAGTAAAGAATGTGCCATGTTTTACTCCATTAGAAAGCAGTATATAGTGGAGGAATCTGACTTGACTAACCAGCAGGTACAGTAACTGCATATGCTGCTGCAGTCACCTGGGTAAATCGCTTGTGTTGAATTGTAAAAACAGCTTTCATGACTAGTCTCCCACTCTATGGAATCGGGTGAACTGAATAACAGTGCAACAGGGTTCTGAAAGAATACACAGGCTTATCCTTTGGAGAGGGCTGCTTTTACAGGGCAAAAAGAACGTGTATTTAGAAAAGTCATTAAATAAGGAATTCCCATGTGCTTAGAAAGAAAACACTGAGAATAAGCTCTAAAAACATTGCCCCACAGCTTCGATACAGGATAACTTCTCCCAAAGACTAACTGGTTCATGTACCTCCAAAAAGTGTATGTTTGGGCTGAATCTCTTAAATGCCTAATTACTCTTTCAGAGTGCCCAAATCAGTATCAACTAAGCACTTTCCAAAAATTGATTAGTCATGTTGTGTGGAATTTGAGTTTCCTCTGAATAATGCAAAAGCAATAATAATACTACCTGTAATTTCACAGTTTCTCAAACCAGAAAACTAAGGCATCTCCCCCTGTTAGGACATTGAGCTGAGCTACAAGAGATCCTAATCCAATTTGAGCCAAGAATTTGTGGAAAAACTGATGCACATTCTTGCTCCTCTTCTCCCCCCTGCCCTATGTGTATTTTTTTTATAGCATTACAATGTCATTCTAGGGTGTATTAACAAGTGTTCTATATAAAACAGGATATAATTGTTCTGTTCCACTTGGCAGGGGGGAGCCATCAGCTGGAGTATTGTATCCAGTTTTGGTTCCACACTTAAGGATGTGGACTAATTGGAGCATCCAGAGGCGAGAAACCCAGAAAAGCTTAGAAAACATGCCCTATGAGGAAAGGTTAAATTGGACTTGTTTAAACTAGAAGAGAAGGCTGAGTTGGGGGACGATAAATCGTCAAGTATGTGAAGGACTATTATAAGGATGGGGATGAGTCCTCCATGTGCAGGGAGGGTAGGACAAGTAGTAATGGGCTTAGGTTTGATATTAGGAAAAACATTCTAAGGCAAGGTTAAGCAGTGAAACAGGTTACGTGAGGTGGCTGTCAAATCCCACTTTTTAGAACAGGGTAGGCAAACACCTCTCTACTTCTCCTCAATCCTGTCTCAGCACAGGGGTGGACTAAATCAGTGTTTCTCAAGCTATCTGATGTGGGGGACTGGCAATTTTCTTTTTTTCCAGTGTGCGCGCAGACCAGCAGCTTGTGGACTGGCACTGGACTAGATGACCTCTTGAGGTCCCTTCTAGCCCATTTCTAAGATTGTTTCAGTAAAATCTCCACAAAAATTAGACCCTTTAAGTGATTAAAATGGCAGAAGATGACTCAATGGTGGCAGTTGTGTTTGCTGATTGTAGGGGAAAATATTTTCTACCTACAATCCCCTGCAAACTCAGCTTGAGCTGAAAAGGCATATCTCACGAACAATCCACAGCCCAAATTATGCTGACATTTGTCAACCCAGTCCCTTGCAAGTGAGTTGCATGACTGGACTTGCATAAACTATTGTTGTACCAGAAAACATAGTCCAGTTCATAGTTATTTTTTGTGTGTTAGCTATGCAAAGCTAAGTACTTCTACTACTAGCCTAAGTAGAACATTTGCAGAAGGAGCCGCTGTTCTCCTTTCAAGAGGAGCACTTCATATAAAGTGCTAGACTAGTTTGATTTTTACACCCAAACTCTGCACTGGAAATGTTTGAAAGGTATTTTGACTCAAACCTTTTCTCTAGCTTAATTTAGAGCTAGCAGTTTGCTTTATGGTAGTGAGGGGCTGTGGTTATCTGGAGGCTGACAAGTGGATTCTTTTATTTATCAAGATAGTGAACTAATCTGCAAACACTAAAGTAAATGATTTAGCACTTCCAGCTGTAGCTGTTTTAGTAGGGAAAAAGTCAAGGTTTTGAAAAATGTATCAAATCTACATTTCTATAAAATTAAAAGAGCTACATTTCTATAAAACTAGAGTAGTTGTGTTTTTTAAAACCAAACTTTTCTTTCAGAGTGAAGAGCTTGGATCTGGTTCAACATCTTGGAAATGGACTGTGGAACATGTTATTTACAAAGCTTTTAGGACCCACCTTTTGCCTCCTAAACACTTCACAGAAGATGGCAACATTTTGCAGCTTGCTAATCTGCCAGACCTGTATAAAGTTTTTGAGAGGTGTTGAATACTTCAGTTGGATGGACTCACTGGTGTATCCCATTGTTTCATACAAGGGGGATAAAACTGGATGACTAATGGAAGAAAGGAGTTTGTCATACTGCCTTTCAGGAAAGAGTATTTCAGAAGTAAAATGGTCTATATTCAACTACTGTAACTTATAGTGAAATACAGCAGCAAAGAGCTACATTAGAGACTGATATACTGAAATGTTCCAGCCATGTTAAAAGCATCCCTCTCTCAGGATGCAGCTGAGGTGCCTCAAAAGGGAGTAGATTTCCTGATAGAGAGCTGTGAAGATCTGTATGCAAGACTTTACTTCAGAAATTTTTTTTTGATAAACATCCACTTTAGCTCTGAGCTCTAAAAGTTAAACCCACCTTTTATCTGTACTTATAACTCAAAGTTTTGAAATAGCAAATGTAAGAACATTTAATGCCTTCCCAAATGTTTACTAGAGCACCTTACAGAATGTCACAGGTAAAGTGAGCAGTTTGGTTTAAATGTCTATATAGATTATAGCTCTGTAAGATTGTATATAAAAAAGCCACTCATTTCTAGCCAGTACAGTGTCCATTTAATGAACTCCTCAGACATTTCCTCACCTCTCCTTCCACCCTAAAGTTTCATTCCACACTTAAGCAGCAGTTGCTATACAAGTTTACAAAGTACAATAAAACATCTTCTGTGATTAAAGTCCCTGTTTTTATATTAAGAGTAACTGAGCTAGTACTTCCTTGGCAAAATAAGCTAGAACTCAGATGTGCTATCACCCATGCAAAAAAGCAAGTTTTATAATAGTCCCTATTTTTTATTTTTATATAAATTTAAATATTACAAAAATGCACCTTTCCATCAAAATTTATAAACTTTAATGAACATAGACCCCAAAACTGTATCTTAAAATAAATGTTATCTGCTTTCAAAGGTTAGTTCTAACATATTTGAAGTCTAAATTGCACCATATAGAAGGCACTTGTGCTGTGTGATGTCTTGAGCAAGTACATTTGTTATTTTTTAAAAGACTGTGTCCTCTTGAACTCATGCAGTTGTCTTCAAGCACCAAGCATCATTAAAGCAGCTGAAAAAAAGTTTAAGTAAACCTGATTCCACAGTTGTGAAAACAAATGTTTTCTAGTAATAAGTCAATCATACAGCATTGTGCTTCAGCTCTGACTCTACAATTAAACTGCTAAATAAAAATCACCATCATTCACATAGGAATTCAAATTTTTCATTCTCTCATAAGTTACAAAAGGTATGCCATTTAATTCTGCAACTAAAATATTACTGAACAGCTCAGTGTTCAAATAGTTTGTGCCAATTAAAGTCTGTATTAAAACAAGCTAAGGGCTAGTTATTTCAAGGAGCAGTGCACAACTTGTTCCATTTTCTAATACTTTCTTCTATTGTTGAGCTAGAAGCGCAGTCCTGTTTGCCTTCATCTTCTCCAGCCTTTTCATCAAGTGGCTGTTGGTCATCTCCATCTCTTCTATCCTGTCCAATGCTGTTCTTAACTAAAATGAAAACAAAAAGTTATTCAATTTCAGAATAATTGCAACTGGGTTTCTGTTTTTTTTAATGTCCTGGTGTGAGTAGCACAAATTAAAACTCTACAATGAGCTTTATGGCTAGGATCACAACCCAATTTTCTCTGTGGAAAGTCTTGATTATGTTCTTTATAAGACTGTCAGGTCAAGAAAAATGGAACTTGACTGACTGCTACTCATGCAGTTATTATATGGTATCCAAAGGAAGCAGAACTCACTCAATTGCTGACATTAGCATAATCTAGAAACAATTTAAAAATAAAGGCATATACTCATTTCTGAGTAGTTGGGTACCCAGAGCTTCATATTACAATTACTCCCTTGGGGCAAAGTCTTTGGTCATCCTCTATAACTGAGCCAGCTGACAGGCAGATGTCTGAGATGGCAGAGGTAGGAATCCTCATGCCTTGTACAGCAGCTCCCATTCCAGCCCATTGGCTAGCATAGTTTAAAGTAATCCCTTATTTGGCTCCCTAGGCAGTAGGCATTGGAGATTTGCATAGTGGTACATCTCCACACTCTGTACTGGCATGTAGGAGCCCCCACACCCTTAAACACTACACAGTGAGAGTTTGCTCCCCTGAAATTTTGACAGAACGATCAGCTCAGTACGGTAGAACTCTGTACTCCCTCCTGACAAAGAAAGCTTTGCACTGAGTAGTAATTAGCAGGACTCCCACTGCCTACAGTCGTCTGTTTGGGAGGAGATTGGATTTAGGGTAGTTTATCTTGAACACTAAAGGTTCTACCATACCCATGTTGGCACAGACTGATTCTTTGATTCCTGGCAGAGCACAGTTCTTGATCACCCAACTGGTCCAAGTTAAGTGAACACTTTCACTTTATGTAAAGGTGAGGTTACTTCTAAAAATTTCTGGAATATATGCAGTGCAGACATCAGAATAAAAGCAATACCCAAAATTTGTCTTTGTCATCTTCCTCTTAAAACTCAGATAAAGCACAGGATAGTTCTCAGTCTCCCCATGGGTACACAGTAGGTAATTGTCAGGTCAGAGCATGTAGCCAGACACTTTGAAAGAGGCATGATTCCTAGAGACACCGTTCCTAACTCTGAAAACACACATTGAGAAATTTGACATCTAACAGGAGGGCTCAAACCCATGCATTTTAAACATAATGAAATACCTGAATACAGTCCTCCTATCACTTTTCTTTTGTAGCTGGGAGGGGGGTTTGGATTTCCTGTAACATTTCTTTCTGGTGGTATTAGATTCATGGGCATTCTGAGTTGCAGTCCTGCTGAGGAACTGTGTGTCTGAGGGAACCCAGGGTGTTGTTAGGAGTAAAAAGTCTTCCTCGCAGTGGAACATCCTTCAAGGATGAGATTGGCAGGCTGACTACAGGCTCAGGCGCTTCTAAAAAATTTGGAGGTTTTCATTGCTCATGGTAAGTAAGTCAAAGATGACAAAGCACTCTGACTATAAAATGTCCACACTTGAACACATTAGTTCTATAACACATTGGATTCTTAGAAGGTACTCATCAGTTCCTTCCTCTGTCATAGCGATAAGAAGCAGAAGGTGGGATTAAAGACAGAGCCAAAGACCTGAGGAAACTAACGATAGTTTTAGTTTCTTTGGCATTCATTAGATTTGCCTCTGCTTTCAGCGGATAGAAATTAAGGATCTATATCTTTGTATGAAGGCCTGATGATCAGAGCCATACATATCTATGAATATCAATGCCAGATTCAGCTGCTCTTGCTCATTCCACATGTGGAGATACAGCCAACATCAAAGGAAACCTATTCCTGAAGTCTGTTCAAATCCTCACAAAAGAGGTGTTTAAATTCCTCACTTTTCTCCTAGAGAAAAGAATCAATACAGGTGCAAGGTTACAACCTCATGTCTTGCATGTATAAGATGGGTAGTTTTTGTAATGGGAGGGGCCGCCCTACAAGATTGATAAATCCTTCTTCCCCCCCGCCCCACAGAATGAGATAGCCAAGCATCTTGCATCATCAGCTGGGGTGTCATGTTGTGAGGTAAATCAGCTTTAGTCTGGACTATACCAGCCTCTAGTGCAGAAAGAGGGAGCCACAGCCAACCCCAGGTAGGAACAGCCTTTTGGTTCTGAGTTTCTACAGCACCGAGCTCAACAGGGTCCCGGTTCATTATTAGGGCCCCTAAGTGTTATAAAAGAGTACACAAATGATAAATGACTATGCCAAGCCCAGCACTGCAGATAGTGCCAACTAAATCATGTGCTCGTTGCACAGGAGGCAGTGTAACAGGCTGGAGCCCCATCAACTATCCATCTGAAAACTATGACCCATCCCAGCATCTTGAAAGTGTTGCGAGGTTATTGCAGAAGCTCGGGTCACCCCTGAAGAAAATGAAATGGTTACTTACTGTAACAAATTCTTAAGATGTGGTGCAAATGTGTATTCCATTTAGGTGTGTGCAGGCCTACCACAACGGAGCCGGAGCATTTTGCCAGCAGGACCCTTACAGGGGTAGTGCTCACACCCCTAGCCCCTCCTCCCCTGGTTATATGAGGTGGCACGGCTACAACCCCCTTGATTCCTTCACGCTGAATACCCAGGAGATGAGACACCAAAGCACGTCTGCATAACATCTCAAAGAACCAATTACAGTAAGTAACCATTTCTTCTTTGAATAGATGCAATCATGTATTTCTCTTAGGTGACTCACAAGCAGTACCCCTTCCAGGAGGCAGGGCTCAGAGTCTACCTAAATAAGGAATAACCCTTCTGAAGGTTGCATCCACCCTCGAAGATGAAGTAATGGCATACTGGTTCACAAATGTATATATGGACAAGCACGTAGTAGCCCTGCAAAGTCCAAAGTGTCACTGAAGAATGCTATTGACATTGCTTGTGCTCTCACGTTGATATGCAGAGAGGACTCCTGCTTCAACCACAGACCTTTGACTTTCAGTGACTGCAGACATGCTCCCCAGCCCATCAGGGAGGTGTCGGTGACAACAGTCCTGGGTGGTAAGGGCTGGATGAAAGGAATAACTTGACAAATACTCTCAAGGAGCATCCACCACAGTAAGGAGTCCAGGACCAATTTGTCCAAAGAGCAAGGAGTCGGACAGTAAACTGTTCTGAGTCATATGTGAAAGAGGTGAAGGTGCAACCGTGCAAACTGGATCACCTGCACGCAAAACATATGGCACAAGAGCTTCAGGGACATCTGAACTGTCGTGGAAGGCTGAGACTGAGGCAGAGCTGCTGAATCTCCTGAAAACGGTCAGCGGAAACACAAACTCAGACTGTATTAGGACCCCAATGAATTCTATTTACTGAGTCGGAACCCAAGTTGACTTCCCAGTATTTCGGATTAGACCCATATGGTCGAGCAAATGCAGTGTAGTGTTGAAGTGAGAAAGGACTTCTTCTCTGGATCTGCCCCTAAGTAACCAGTCATGTAGATGTGGATCCCTTTCTGAGATATCCTGTGATAATGGCCATGTATCTGGTAAAAACCCAAGGGGCAGAAGAGATTCCGAAGGGAAGCACGGTATACTAGAAAAGGCCCTCTGCTACGATGCATCAAAGGAATTTTCTGTGGCTCTGCAAAATGGTCACATGAAAGTCGGCATCCTGAAGGTCCCATGGAGCAAACCAGTCTTTCTGAGACAACGCAGGGAGAGTAGTCAATAGAGTGACTATGCAGAATCTCATGTACCTGATGTATTTGTTGAGGCCATAAAGTTTGAGAATGGGCTTTTCACCTCCTTTGGATTTGGGCACCAGAAAGTACTGGTAATAGAAACCCTGACTTCGGTGATCCTGTGGAACCTCCTCCATCGCCAGCAGAGCACAAACCTACTCAAGGAGCAATATATCATGAGTGGGGTCCTTGAAGAGGGACAGGGAGGCGGAATGGAAAAGAACTGGTAGCACAGCCCAATCCCATAGCTACCAGAAGCCTGCATCCCAAGAAAGGGGAAAAAATTCATAGGCAGGAGTTGTAGACCAAGCTGAATGAGCAAGCATCTCAGAGAGGTGATTAAGAAAAGCAGAAAGCATACAGGGAGTGGAAGATGGGAGGGATCAGCAAGGAAAGCTACTTTATTTAGGTCAGAACATATAGGAATAAAGTGAGAGGCTAAAAGTCAAGTAGAGTTGGACCTTGCAAAGGGAATTAAAACCAATAGTAAAAGGTTCTATAGCCAGACAAATAAGAAAACAAAGAAAGAAGAAGTGGGACCGCTAATCACTGAGGATGGAGTGGAGGTTAAGGATAATCTAGGCATGGCCCAATATCTAAACAAATACTTTGCCTCAGTCTTTAATGAGGCTAATGAGGATCTTAGGGATAATGGTAGCATGACAAATGGGAATGAAGATACGGAGGTAGATATTACCATATCTGAGGTAGAAGAGAAACTCAAACAGCTTAATGGGACTAAATCGGGGGACCCAGATAATCTTCATCCAAGAATACTAAAGGAATTGGCACATGAAATTGCAAGCCCATTAGCAAGAATTTTTAATGAATCTAAACTCAGGAGTTGTACCGTATGACTGGAGAATTGCTAACATAGTTCCTATTTTTAAGAAAGGAAAAAAAAGTGATCCAGGTAACTACAGGCCTGTTAGTTTGACATCTGTAGTATGCAAGGTCTTGGAAAAAATTTTGAAGGAGAAAGTAGTTAAGGGCATTGAGGTCAATGGTAAATGGGACAAAATACAACATGGTTTTACAAAAGACAGATCGTGCCAAGCCAACCTGATCTCCTTCTTTGAGAAAGTAACAGATTTTTTAGACAAAGGAAATGCAGTGGATCTAATTTACCTAGATTTCAGTAAGGTGTTTGATACGGTGCCACGTGGGGAATTAGTTAAATTGGAGAAGTTGGGAATCAATATGAAAATTGAAAGGTGGATAAGGAATTGGTTAAAGGGGAGACTACAGCGGGTCATACTGAAAGGTGAACTGTCAGGCTGGAGGGAGGTTACCAGTGGAATTCCTCAGGGATTGGGTTTGGAACCGATCTTATTTAATCTTTTTATTACTGACCTCAGCACAAAAAGTGGGTGTGTGCTAATAAAGTCTGCGGATGATACAAAGCTGGGAGGTATTGCCAGTTTAGAGAAGGACCAGGATATCATACAGGAGGATCTGGATGACCTTGTAAACTGGAGTAATAGTAATAGGATGAAATTTAATAGTGAGAAGTGTAAGGTCATGCATTTAGGGATTAATAACAAGAATTTTAGTTATAAGCTGGGGACGCATCAATTAGAAGTAACAGAGAAGGAAAAGGACCTTGGAGTATTGGTTGACCACAGGATGACTATGAGCCGCCAATGTGATATGGCTGTGAAAAAAACTAATGCGGTCTTTGGATGCATCAGGCGAGGTATTTCCACTAGAGATAAGGAGGTGTTAGTACCGTTATACAAGGCACTGGTGAGACCTCATCTGGAATAGTGTGTTCAGTTCTGGTCTCCCATGTTTAAGAAGGATGAATTCAAACTGGAACAGATACAGAGAAGGGCTACTAGGATGATCCGAGGAATGGAAAACCTGTCTTATGAAAGGAGACTCAAGGAGCTTGGCTTGGTTAGCCTAACCAAAAGAAGGCCGAGGGGAGATATGATTGCTCTCTATAAATATATCAGAGGGCTAAATACCAGAGAGGGAGAGGAATTATTTAAGCTCGGTACCAATGAGACACAAGAACAAATGGATATAAACTGGCCATCAGGAAGTTTAGACTTGAAATTAGATGAAGGTTTCTAACCATCAGAGGAGTGAAGTTCTGGAACAGCCTTCCAAAGGAAGCAGTGGGGGCAAAAGACCTATCTGGCTTCAAGATTAAACTCGGTAAGTTTATGGAGGAGATGGTATGATGGGATAAAGATCAATTAATTGCCAAAATCATGTTAACTATTCATGGTAAATAGGCCCAATGGCCTGTGATAGAATGTTAGATGGGGTGGGATCTGAGTTACTACAGAGAATTCTTTCCTAGGTATCTGGCTGGTGAATCTTGCCCACATGCTCAGGGTTCAGCTGATCGCCATATTTGGGGTTGGGAAAGAATTTTCCTCCAGGGCAGATTGGAAGAGGCCCTAGGGGGTTTTCGCCTTCCTCTGCAGCATGGGGCACGGGTCACTTGCTGGAGGATTCTCTGCACCTTGAAGTCTTTAAACCATGATTTGAGGACTTCAATAGCTCAGACATAGGTGAGAGGTTTATTGCAGGAGTGGGTGGTTGAGATTCAGTGGCCTGCATTGTGCAGGAGGTCAGACTAGATGATCATAATGGTCCCTTCTGACCTTAATATCTATGAGTCTATGAGATGGTGCTTAGGACCCAGCTGTTGGTGGGGATCGAGCCCCAAGCATTGTGAAAGCAAATGGAGAAGAAAATGACAACTGGAACATTGCCTTGGAGGAAGAAGTCAAAATGGGTGCTTTGGAGAAGAACATGTGGACTGTCTGAACCCCAAACATGACTGCTTCTTTCTGAGGGATCTATGCCCTTTCTGGGGTAGTCCCGCTGTCTTGGGAGAGGGAAAGGCTGGTCTGCAAATTTGGACATAGCCCTCCAGTTGACAGATTTGTACTTGGACAGCAATGCCTGCTGATTAGCAATTTGCATCTGCAAGAAAGAGGAGCAGCAAATCTTCCTGCCCATCAGATTCATGCTCTTAGAGTCCTTCTCCTTGCGAGTGGACTTAAACCTGCCCTGTTGGGCTCTATCGTTCACAACTGTTACCACTAAGGAGCTTGGGCTATAAAAACCTGCAAATCCCTGCACAGGAACAAAGCAGCACTTTTCCATGTGCTTAGCTACAGGTGGTACTAAAGCCAGTGTGCTCCAGAGGACCTTAGTAGGCTCATAGAGCTCAATGTTAATAGGGAGAAATGACTCTCCCAGGAGCAGACAGCTGCAGGATATCCACTAACTTGTGGGTGTTCACCTACGGGAATTCTGCCTGAATACCCAGGGAGGCAGCCACCACAACAGGTCCCAATATGCCTTAAAATTCTCCAATACTGAAGGGAAGGAAGAGCATGGCACCACAGAATCGTCCAAGGATGAGGATAAAGCAGTTAAGTGTGCCCAAGACGGATCCTGCACCAGGACTGACGGCCTGGGTGAAACAATTTGGGAGGCTCTGAGGGAAAGCCTCACCAGTGCCTGGATCTGTGGCGGATTGATGGTCACCACCACAGACTTGGCTGGTGATCTCAGCCTCAGGAAGGCTGAGAAGCAGGACTTCCGTGACTGAGGAGAGTCCCATGGATTCCATGGAGGCCACTGGTATAAATAGGGCATTGGTGGTCAGTAGGCGCTAGGCCAGGGGCCTCCATCCTGACCACGAGATGAATGCTAGTCCTGGTACCAACAGCGCTCCATGAAGGGCCCCCATCCAGGGAACGGGAAGAGAAAGATCTCAACTTGGACACCAAGGGATCCCGGGCTTCGGGGGATAGCTGTGAGGCCAGTCCTGAGGGTGCAAGCGGCTGGACTGACTTGTCCGTAGCCCAGAATGACAAGAGGGCTGGTGCTAATAGTGGAAATGGAACTTCCAGCAAAGTGTACATCTCTGTCACTTCCAGTGCTTGGAGTAGTGTACACCACTGGTGTACACCCTACAGCCCATTAGGGTAATTTGATTGCGGGCCATGAGACATTTTGCTGACGTTGACCATCCGCAGCCATGGCCCCCCGCAGCTCCCAGTGGCCTTTTCCACAGCACACTCAACAGGGAACGACTCCTCCGTTTCTTCGGAGAGGCACCAGCTCCAGGACACAAAGCAGCAGCACTTCCCACACCAGAGGGCGATCTCCAATCTGAGGAGGGCCTTGGTGCCAAAGTAGGCCACATGACGTGTTCGAGCAGGTGCTGCTTCAGATGAAGATCTCTTGCCACTTGAGTCTGTTTCATGAGTAATCTGCAAAACGAACACTGCTCCTTGACGTGGGCTTTGCCTAGACACAGCAAGCACTGTGTGGGGATCGCTCCCATACACGATGGACAAAGTTTAAATACTGGTGAGGACATCACCAGGGAAAACTTAAATAACTAACTAACGATCAGTACTAATTAATGATATACAATCAGAGAACAGTCACTAAATAGAAGAATGTGAAATAAAAACCACACAGAGCTCTAACTCCAGCCACAGGTGCTAAGAAGGAACTGGGGGAGGTTGGGGTGGTGCCACCTCATATAGCCAAAGGAGGGACTACAGCCACGACCATCGCCCCTCTACAGGTACTGCTAAGCAAAATTCTCTGGTGCCGGTGCACTGGGCACCCACACATCTGAATGGAATATATGGCTGTATCTACTCAAAGAACAACTTAATGTTAAGAGGTAAATAGGTCACATCTACAAATAGATAGACTCTCTCCTATCTAAGCACTATACAAACACTAATGGATTTACTCTCACAATTATCTCCAATTTACAGATACGGAACAAATGCACTGAGTGTTTAAATGACTTTCAAGTTACATAGGAAGTTTGAGACAGAGCTGGAAATAGTTGAGACTCTGGAGGAGTCTAAGTGCCTTAAAGTAAACTGAAGAGTATCCTCCTCTCCTGCTGCTACATCTTAGAATCTATTGGCTCAGTTACCCACACAGACAATTCCGAGGTAAACTGAACTGGTTGATTTCTACTGGGTGCTTTGCAGGACATAATCCTCCCACGAGGAGGAGCTGTGGCAGAGCATAAAAAGGCGTGAAGCAGTCAGGCAAAGGTTGAAGTTTAGCTTAGAGAGACACTCTGGTCTTTGCTCTGAAATCAAGCCTTTAACACTTCAATCAGATCTCCCAGGAACAGGCTGATGTTCCAGAGAAACTTCCTGAAAGTCCTCTGATCACTAGATCCCAAAAAGTATGTCTACACTGTAGCTAGGAGCAAGACTCCCAGCGCAGGTAGACAGACTCTTGCTAGCTTCACATAAGAGTAGCGTGCTAAAAAGAGTAGTGTGGATGTGGCAGGGGTGGCAGCTTCGGCTAGCCATCCAAGTCCAAGCCTTCCCAACTCGTTGGGTCCAAGCTTGGGTGACATGAGGCACGTTCCCAGGTAGATATACTCTGAGACATCTCTCACCCTGGTCATGGCCAGACAATGCAGTAACAGTGCCTGCTGCTGAGGAACAGGGCTCAATTACAGCCCAGAAGCTTTTTGAAGTTATTAGGAGGCCTTCTTTCTAAGATACCTTAAAAAGTAGTAACAAAAGAACAAAAAATTACTTTGGTAATTTTAGTTTGGAACTGTATCTCAAAAAGTCAAGGTCTGGAACTGGAAGAAGATAGTACTTAGTGAGTCAGAGAGAGCGCAATGATGTTCACAATGTAACATGCTCCAGACTGGGAACAAAGTGCAAACAAAGGTGGAGTAAGTCAAGGCCTCAATGAAGACAAGGACTTCAGAAGCTCAGGAGGTCAAATATCTTGTTGCTTCAACTGCAGGGAAAAAACAATAAAAAAACAGGCTGTCAATGCATGGATAAGAAATAATTTACCAATGCTCTCAGGTTGGCTCCAATTTGACAGCAAAGATAAAAAGGTGGCAACAATGGAAGTCATTCAAGGAACCAATGCAATGAGGATGATAAAAAAAAAAAGTATAAGAAACATGTCCAAGAACTTAGAGACAAGGGTTCCGAGGAGAGGCTGCTGCAGAACAGGAGAAAGTTGCTGTAAGCCAAGACAATTGCCAATGAAATGCTTGCAGATCCTGCAGAACTCCTCTGCCAGCTACAGTCAGAAAAGAAATGATTTTGAAATACATTGGGCCAGCCTCAGGTGCATGAGACATCATACTGAAGAAAAAGACCTCTATATATGACCATTTGTAGTTCTTACCCCCTTGTTGGAAGCCAACAGACTGCTCACAGAATTACTCCTGTAACAGCTACAAAGATTAAATGTTCATAGGCATTTGGTTTTATTAATGAAACTCCATCATGTTTACTCTGAAAGGAAAATGGAGTTGATTACCTCTCGCTGAAGTTTCCTCTTCTCTGCTTTGAGTTCGTCTTCCACTTTTTCTGCATTCTCTGCTGCAGATTTATATCTTATCACCTGTCCTTCAAGTCTTCCAATCTGCAAACAAAGTAAACCACCAAAAAAAATGACTGCTGACTGCTTTATAATGGGATGGGCTACCCACCTGTCTGTCCTTCTCCCCTCTCCTATGTGGCACTCCACAGCACTGTTCCCTGCATTATCTGTGGCACCCTCAGCAGGAGAGAAGGTGGTGAGTGTCAATGTGCAGAAGCAGCTGAGATTGCAGAGAAAGGGAAACATCAGGGTTTAAAGAACAGGGAAACTGCAAGAAGGGAGACTCATGGAGAGTAGAAACACCAGAGAAGAACCCACTGTCGGTCACTCTTCATGGTGAGACAGCAGGGAGTGGATTGAGGGGAATGGAAGAGCACTGGAGGCAGGGAGAGTGGGAAAACTGGGAGGGGAAAGTGAGAACCAAGGGAAAGTGAACTGGGAAACAGAGGCAGTGGAAACAAGAAAGGTGAGACATGGCAATGGGTCAGAGTATGATGTGAGAGGTCATGAGTCGAAGCCCAGCTCTGTAACAAGGGGATGGAGCGCCAAGCAAAAAATGAATAGGAACCACTAGCTTTAAAGCTCACTCACCACTCTCTAGTTAGAATGCAAGAGTTATGACCTGTTACTGTTCTACTACAGTTCACAGAGTAATGAAATCAAATATGTGGCATAGTGATAAAAAGCACTGTGTAACTCTGATTTGCCAAGTGCTAAAGTAATCCCCATTTATTGAAACATACTCTAATTCGCTCTCAGAGTATTCTATTATTTTGCTATTTATAAACTATGGAAACCTAGAAGAGTTTCTCAAATACATTACTGTCTTGTTTACAGAAAATTAGATAATCTTATGTAGTATCTCCCGAAGTCAAGGGTACCTTTTTCACAGATAGTAATTTAAGAAAGCAATCCAGTTTACACAGTAAAAAACTTACTTCCATTCCTTTTTATTTTGTACAGTATGATGGAGGTCTTGGTCAATTAACCCCAGAATATGAATCTCTACATTTTCTTTTTATGGTGAGGTTATGAAAAAGTATTGATTTGTAAGAAAATGGTAACATAAGTATGAATTTAGTGCTGCTGGTAAAGCCATTATGGTGAATCACAGAACAGATAAGAATCAATTTTGGAATCTACATCTGAGAAAAATGATCTTATAACTCGAGTATACTATGCATAAAAATCTCTGTGACTTACTTAAATTTACTAAAAATTTACTAAAAAAATTCTAAAGAAAGATACTTACATTTTGTTCCATGGTAGTTATATCTTGTTCAGCTTTTGAAAGCTTAAATTTGTATTCACTTATTTGTCTGTTGGCATCTCCTAAATAAAATCAGACATTAATGGATTTCTTAAAGTGTCACTAATAAGCAATTCCTATTTTAATTCAAATGAATTTTAAATATGACTCCATTGAGAAATAGAGGTTATTTACCTGTAACTGGAGGTTCTTTGAGATGTGTGGTCCCATATTCCACATGTGGGTACATATATGCACACCATGCACCTGAGTCTGGAATTTTTTTAGTAAGCAGTGCCCCACTGGCCCACACATGCTGTAGCTCTCCTCGTGCTCCAAATCCAGATAATCCATGACAGAGGACAGATAATGGAAAACAGATAGGGATCACACAACTCAAAGACCCTCCAGTTACAGGTAAGTAACCTCTGTTTCTTCTTCGAGTGATGGTCCCTATCTATATTCCACATGTGGGAGATTAACAAGCAGTGTTCAAACAAGAAATGGTTACAAGGACGCAGATGTGATAGCTAATACTGCTGTCCCCATAGCTGTATCTGTAACGGCAGACTGGACCAAAGTGTAACGTTTTGTGAAGGAGTACAAGGAGCTCCAGGTAGCTGCCCTACGTATCTTTACCCATGGCATAGGGTACCTCCTGTCCCTTGGCAAATCATGCCTGGCCAGAAGATGTAACCCTGATGTTCTAGGGCTTCTGTGCAGGGCCATCTTTGCTTGGTAACAGACTCCTGAGGAGTTTCCGAATCATTGTAAGAAAACACCAGATCACCAGCAGTACATACACTACCAATGATTTTGTACACAGACTTGCAGGTGGGGGAGAAGGAATAACCTCCTCTTCTGAAGTAATGTCTCTGAATAGAGATGGTGCATGAGTGAGAGAGAGAGAATGAGTGAATATGAGGATAGGGAGACATAGGTCTCAGACCACCTGGGGGTGGATGGTGAGTACATTGGTGGTGCCATCGGATCTGGAGCTTCCCTGGTCACAGAAGAAGTCAGATCCTTCTGGGGCTGCGTCAGTATAGGCACTGCATTGGCTCTGGAGAATGTCTGTCCTGTGCTTTGGACACCAGAATCAGTACCTGAACAGGCGGATCCATACCCTTATGTGCCACTTTCTCTTGCCAAGATTTACTCAGGCCTAAGTCTTCAGCATCTGTGCGCACAGGCTCTCCTGACTTTGGTGGGGTCGGGAAGTGATGCTCTCTCTTCGGAGCAGTTTTGGATGAAGACAATTTATCCCTATACTTATGACCGTGCATCTTACTCTCATCGGAAGCCTTCTCTTCAGGCTTAGAATTCTTAGCTTCAACTCCCAACCTTGTGCTCAGAGGGATGCTTCCTGTCTGATGAGGCTGCTGTACAGGGGGATCTTCCCAGCCTGGATCTGATTGGGGTCTCAATCACCTTCTCTTTTCCTTACCCTCATGAGTTCTGGGGGGAAGGAGCAGCAACTACTGTACGTGGCTGAGATATGAAACTCGCCCAGACAGGAGAGGCAACACTGATGTTGACTGGTCACAGAAAAAGAGCAAGGGCAGGAAACACAAGTTTTGAACCCTGGGACTCGGGACAATCTCAGCCTTCCTGGGCAGAGCAGAGGGGAAAATTCTGCGGAATGGGTAAAAGGGGAACAACTATCTAAGTCTATTATACTGGAGTCTAAAAAGGAGAAGAATACTAAAAACAAACTAATTACAGTATATTTACAGAAATGACATAGTAGCAGAAGGAGCTGAGAGGACAGAAGACTCCCTCAGACTTCATGGCAACAAGAAGGAATGGGAGGTGTGTCTGTCTGCACCGTTCCTTATACTTTTGGTTCAGAGCACAACAAACGCTATGGATGGACACTGCTTACTAAAAAATTCCAGACTCAGGCACATAGTGCACATGCATAGCCCAGGTGTGAAACACTCAGAGGGACCACTGCTCAAAGAAGACTACTATATTCAGGACTCTTGTGGTATAAATATTCTTTATTGATTCTCTTCTCTTGGAGACTAAAGAAGCTAGAATAATGATCCTATCTTTTACATGTGACACCTAACAGACCCATTATAAGAGACTGAAGACACCAAGCCTGCATTAATCACTTGGTAACCCCAAGATATAGACACTTTAAAATGTGCACTTTGGACAGACCATGACAACCAAAATAAATGGTAACATCAACAAACCATCTCATCACCAACAGATTATCTCCTTGAAAAGCAGAATCACTATATTAAGACTGGTTTGAGGACAAGAATCCCAACATAAATATAAATTCTGGAGGTTGAGCAAAGATCTGAAAAAGCATTTGACCAAAAAGCAGAATAAAGCTTGAATTTGCTTGACAATACAAATCTAAGAAAAAAGAAAAGAAAAGAATTTCTTGCAGGTTTGCAAATCATTTTTGGTGGTACTGCTCAGAAAATTACCAATTGGCACAGCCACAGCTCTGCTTGAGATAGCTTTGGCACATCTCTCAAATGACTGTCCTGTCAGTGACTTGCAGCTCCATATGGGTGCTGACAGCTAGGGAGTTCGCTTGCTCAGACTCAAGCTAGCCTGGTCAGTTTGTATGAAATGAAACTGAACGTTGGGCAGGATTTTAATAAGTTTTGTTTGCTCCAGATAGTGACAGGGAGTCTTTCAGACTGCGTTAGTGGATCAAGCTTCAACATGATAGGAAACCAGGGGAAAATACTAGCAAAATAATTCAGGTGAAATTCTATCATCTAATAATGAAATCTGGCAAATATTTATATCAAAGTGAGGCAACGTTGTCAACTAAGAAAAATTAACGTGCCAGAAATTTTATTAAGCTCCAAAAGCAAACAGAGACCTTTTATTAACTATTGTATACTGAGGAATGCACTGAGAGGAAGTTTGCCAACAAAAAATAATTTTAAAATCCTGTACTCTGTTGATACTACTACAATTGATAATAATTAAACCTACACAAGAAAGAAAAAGCTATGAGGAAAGCCCCTATGAAAACCACAGATAAAGTTTTCAACAAGATTAGATAAGTAGGTCTCACAACCAAAGAAGGGCACTTATCCTTCATACATCGGGGGAAGAAGAGAACTAGGTTTCTTTTCACTATGAATATCTATATATATTTAAGGTATGCTTACTCTGCATTTCAATTAACTGCAAATCAGAACCATTCTCTAATCCTGTTATATCTGGATTTGTGCCATCATTTTTAGAGTATTTCTGTCGTTCCTCTTCCAGTTGCAGCTTCAGTTTCCTAATCTGAAATTAAAATGTCATATTGTGAAGAGTAATCTACTAGAAGTTATACTGTGACCACAAAACATTTTTCCCTTCATCGTGATTCTCAGCATGAGGTGCCAATTGAGCTCTGTGTATGGAATTTTTCATGTATATTTTACATTTTTAAAGTTTACAAAATCTATGGCTCAGATCCCAGGATGTGCAAAGGCATACCAGGGCAAATCCAGCATTATGATGTACCTCTTCCCTCATTCCCAGAAGTGATGGCTGCCAAGCTGGTCACCTGTGCAGAGTTAGAGTAGTCTCAAAAGTAGCTTAACTTTGTGTTACATGTCAGCAGTTCCTACAGGTTTTTCCGGCAGTCAGGGCTCATCAGTATGTAAGAAATCCCCAGCCATGACCCCTGATGGAGGTCTGATGAAGAAGGTAGGACCTCTTATCTTTGCTCTATACTATTGGAAAATTCCTCCCACAGTTGAGTGGAATGGTGTAGGGAGTTTGAATCGCACAAACAGGAGTTTACATAAGCCACCTCAAAATAAAATGATTTTTACAACTACCATGCTCTAATAAGTGATTGTATTTTTATGGTCTAGCCAGTATTTGGCTTCTATTTTGGCTTGAACCCAAAACACCTAGTTATTTGACATTCATCTGAATATTAAAAATAAGGTATCTGGTACACTCTCAATGAAAACAAAGGCTGATAAGAATGGCTAGATCTGTGTCCTGTGCAGCTATACTCCATGCCTTCCCCTAGACCACAAGTTCACAAATTGTGGTCTGTAGATTGTGTCTGTGGAACACCTGCTGGTGGTCCACTGGTCACTTGCAGGTCACCAACCACCTCCTCTTTTCTAGTTGCTAAACTGCATTAAAAGTTAATATTCATAATATTTTTCCTTTTAACTAACTGTAGTTATCACAAGAATATTGTGATGATGAATTGGAAGAATCACAACATGGGAGGACAGATTATCCATGAGACACTCTATGGTATGGAAAAGTTTGAGTACTCTTGTCCTGGACAGATCTCTCAGAACACATAACGACCCTGGCTTCTGCTTTCTCTTGAGTCAGCCATACTGGTATTGTTCAAAAATGACTCCCAAACCTTGTTAGATTTTAGTAACTTCCGACTTCTTGTTTTTATAAAAAGAAATAAGAGAAAGAATGAATAAATAGCTACTTCATTTCATATAACCATCACTGATCAATGATGATCTGTAATTGTAAGATGCAAATGAGTCAATCATACAGCACAATGTTAGTATAAAAACGGAGAGGCAGGACGCACCCTCACAAAGATCCATATATACTTCCAATTAGGACCACTCAGAACAACCAGAAGGGAAACAGCTTTAAGACCAACTTAGCTATTGCGTAAGACCAAGTTCATGCTGTTCAGGGCACCACACAGAGGAGTTTAGTAGTTTTTGGCCGACCAAAGTTGGAAGTTTCATTAAAGCTAATATTTTCGTTTAGTTTGTTTTACCTACAGGTTTAGTAGCTTTTTATTTTTTATTAATGTACTAACTTTTTTTTTTTGGGGGGGGGGGGAGACACACTTTTTAAAATCTATCTTATCTATCCCTTTACACAATATTTATGGGGAAAAAAACACTTCTCTACCTGTGACAATAATTCCTCTTTCTCCCCAGCCAGTTTTCGTAGCCGAACATCTAAAAGAACCAAAAAAGAAGAAGATCTCAAAATCCAGACGGATTTAAAACCAAAAATTTAATGTTTTATTTTCATTAAGCTTAAAAATAAAAATATTTTTCAAATTTAGAAAAAGTTGTGAATTTAATGATGTGCTGAAAATGACCATTTGAGTTCCTATGGTTTATTTTGCTTGCTTAAATGGTTGCAAACATCAATACTTCAAACATCACTATATTCACAGCAACATGCAGTTCAAATATATCTTTGTAACATATAAAAAGCTAAGTATTTTCTTTACTTTTTAATATATAAAAAGTTTAGCAGCAATAAAGATATCTGAGTAAGGCAATTCCTAGTAGTTAATAAATGGTTGAGGGACTACTGGGGATAATTTATACATTTAACAAAACAAAACCATCTCCCACTTCCTAAAAATACTCACTTTAGTAAAAATACTCAAGACATGGCCAGTTACTGCTATAACCATTTTACCTGTATGTAAACATCCTTTTCCCAACCCTTTATTTCTGTCTTATCTTTCAGATTGCAAGCTCTTCAGGGAAGGGACTGTGCCTCCCTATGTTTGTAGAGTACCTATCATGTTGTGTTACTAGAATACAAACAGTAGCTGGGCTAATAGCCTAAACTGCAGCTAAAATAAATTAACTCATCCAGAAAAGATCATTAACCCCTTGAACATACCCTCCCACTCAGTCAGTAGTAAAATCAGAATAGGTCTGACAAGTTCTCAGTTTCTTAGAGAATTATTTTTAAAAATAATGTAAACAAAGCAATAGTGCATCAGAACCACCAAATATGAGTATTAACAATTCTTTCTGTCCATTTCAACATGACTGGGCAATATCAGGACTATTTATTAAATAAATGGTTTAAAACAAAAAACATGCAGTCTTCCATTTAAATTCGTATACTATGTGTACCAACATACAAGGATGTTTCCTTGTGTACTAAGTAATGAAAAAAAAAACACAACAATTTGTGCAGTTTAGCTAGGAAAACAAAATTAACCAGGAGCCTGGGAACAGAACCCTAATTTTGTCCACATAGTAGTTTGACTGTGCTAACTGGAACTAGAGCAAACCTTTCTATTCTAAGCAATTAAGAGATACCATCAATTTGCATGAATACAAAAAGTATTTCAAAGGAAATGAGAAGACACAATATACACTCCTATTTCTTGTATACAGGACTTTTCACAAATGGGCTCTTTAAATAGTTCATGTTTTTAAAGAAACATTTATTTCTTAACAAAGAAAATAAGTGTTAATCAAAACACTTTACTAATTCTGCATTTTTATCCAACTATTTCCTAGTTTTCTTAGCTCACTCTAAAGTTACCTCAAAAACAATAAAATGGAGACTGGACCATGAGAATTAACCAACTGCAGATGCCCTCATCGCACCAACAAACAAATATGCTGTTAGGTTAGACACAGGCATTCAGCTTGGCAATGGCACATTTCATAAGTAACGGAAATATCTTTGTGTAGCTCTAAAGTCACAATTTTGGATGTGAACACTGGGGGAAAACAAAAAATCCAGTAAAATCTTTGAAAGACAACATGTATTTAGTATATTTTTACCTAGTGGTCCTTCTCCTGCAGATTCCAAGACTTGAGCAGCTTCCTGCGATACAACTGCTATTGTACCAACCACTGGTTCATGGTTTACATCACCATTTGGAGTACCATCTGGGATTATAACTAACCCGTGTTTCTGAAAAAATAAAAGGAATTTCACTCATACAAAAGAAACCTTTTCTATCCAATTACATTTTACATTTTCAGAAGGTTTTCAACTTGACTGAAACAGTTACACCAAATGGAAATGTTCCATTTAACTTATGTGAGGATTGGGGGTTTTGGTCCATATTTGGACCAAGCAGCATTACTTATATCATTACCAGAATCAAACCTTTCTTGGGATGTACTGGAGTAGTAACATACTGCTTTCTGTTTTGTGTTGACTATGGTTGATCCCCCATTTCTGTATTTGTATTACTGTATACTACTGCTACTGACATACCTGTCCTGTCTTCATTGCTTCCTTCAGGTCAGCCAACTCATCTCTGAGCTCATCTCGCTCATGCTTAATGGAGTCAAAGTACTCTTTCTGTCTTTCTAGAGCCTGGGTACAGGCAGATAGCAAGAAAAAGAATGGCACAGAGAGAGAGCAATATGATAGGCAGCAGAGAGATTTTATACAAATAAGGCAAGCAGCTGAATAAAAGTAAAGAAAGGAGAAGGGGAATATAAAATATTATGTGCAACTTCAATAGCTAACTTTTGCAGTCATATGTTTGCCTCAGTGCCGCATGCTGGTCTTGAAACAATCTTTACCTACAGTAGGCTTGGCAGACTCTATACAATCCAACCATTTGATTCATTACATTGTTTACCAAAATTAATACAGTCCTTCCAAATGTGTCCATTTTAAGGCAATCTCTGCATGGACTTTTCTGCATAGTATTTGTGTCTAGCTGAACTATCCTAGAAAACCCTCATAGTGGGAACAGCTTTGTGATGAGGTATTTTGACAAACGCTTTGGTTAAGTTTAATAAATACCTGCCTCTGGCTTTAAGAGAAACATCTATTTCAGTCCAAATATATATTTACTAACAATTGCATCCAGCCACTCAACAAGCCACCGCACTACTACTGAACAGTCACGACTCCACATCCTTCTCACAGGCCAAAATGCTCGGGGATTTAATTAGTAGAGACTGTAGAATACCACATCCATTACACTAACTACTCTGACTTCTACAGGAGCACAGAGTAGAAATCTTACAATCAAAGTCTGTATATTTTAGTTCCTTTTATTCATTTCTTCTTATCTGCTTCTCTGTTACTTGCATAAATATTTTAGCCATTTGGTTACCAACAAACGTTTTTAGAAACACAAAACTAAGAAAAACTGGCACTAACGACACTACATTAACACAAAAGGGGTCACAACAGAAAACACAACAATCTCATTCAGCTATGTGGCAACTATGTTACCCAGAGTTAACACAGACATTTTAGGCCAGTTAGGCAGCACTCCAATATTCCATTTAAATTAATTACTACATGCACTATGAATAATCTTGACTATGCGACAACTGCATTATAAATAATCCCAAATAAGAGAGAACTGCACAAATGTAAACACACATTTGCCAAGAAAACTCATCTAACAAATGTTATGTCATGCATGAATCTTTAGGAATAGACTGATATAAAGGAAGAAATGAAGGTAAATAGCTTCACATTGTATTTTCTTCACTTCTCAAATTTACTACAATAGAACCTCAAAGTTACAAGCACCTCAGGAATGGAGGTTGTTCACAACTCTGAAATGTTCATAACTCTGACGAAAACATTAGGGTGGTTCTTTCAAAAGTTTACAACTCAACATTGACTTAATACAGCTTTGAAACTTTACTATCTAGAAGAAAAATGCTGCCTTCCCTTTATTTTTTTAGTAGTTTACGTTTAACACAGTACTGTATTACTGTAGAAGATCTTCGCTGCTGCCTGATCTGTGTACTTCCAGTTCCAAATGAGGTGTGGTTGACTGGTCAGTTTAACTCTGGTGTTCGTAACTGATGTTCTATTGGATGTTTTACTTTAAATTATTATTGATAGTTTCTAGGGAAAGCAATATTTTTCAATGCACTATGCTGTTCATTTATTTATTTCAACAGGAATAAATGAAACATGCAGTTGAACTGGATTTCATAGATGGAAAAATTAATTTTAAGCACTGCATACTAAAAATATAGGAGTAGTCTAGCAGCTACCCTCTGATGGATATAGAATATTTTAAGAAAAATCATTTTATTACTTATCTACTGTTTCCTCAGACACACTAGATTTCTACAACTAAAATTATAAACTTAAAGTCAAGCCCCTTATTTTTTAAACTCCATAAATGCTTTAATTAGGGCTTGAAAAGTTTACCTGATGCCTACTAGCTAGAGTGCCAAGTGCCACCCATGCACTCAAAGTACAATCCTTGCATTTTAAAGGAATAAACAACGTTTATTGTGTATGCTATTAAACTGTAAAATTATCAAATTGCTATTTAATATATATTTTTAAACATACCTTGTTACATATCTCAATTTAGTTATTCACATGTAAAAGAGTCCCTCAACATGGAGTTAGGGTTGTAGGCACTCTGCACTTTCCAGGACTCCTTGTAGCTTACAGAACATGAGAGTTTAATTCCCAAAACCCAAATAACTGACAAAAACAGGAAATGCAGAGTTAAGGTTTCCTTGCACACATGGTATAAGAAGGTTATCATTGCAAGAAAAAAAAGCCAAAACCACAAATGTTGAAAGAGAGTTCTGTTACACTGCTCACACAACACAGGCACACAACCATAAAACTCTGCTTCCCTGCTACCCCGTGGGGTTGCCAATAAAAACTGGGAATATTCACTACCAAAACCTTTAGTAACAGAGGTTGGTTGTATTTCACCTCACTCCCTGACCATATAACACCAAATTTGCAAAACTACTATTTCCAGTCCCTCTTACTGTCAAAATGTTTTTCAGGACAACTGAGCTCTGCAAGTGCATTGTAGAGCAATTTATTAAGTAAAAGTAGGTCACTTCGGAGGAGGAAACTTTGACTCAGAATTCCTTTGACCAAATATCCCAAAATTTGCCCCACAAAGTCTATCCCAGACCCTGATTTGGCATAGCTATTTTCAAGGCAATCTGTCTATGCATGTACACTTTGAAGCGCTCTGAAAAGTAAAAGCAATTTATTGGGGGGAGCAGGGAGGGCAGGGAGGAGACTTATCTCAGGAGACCCTGAATAAATGACTAGATAAATAGTACCTCAGCCCTCAAACTGACATATTGAGTTTCAATCCTATCTGAATGTGTCTGAGAATTTGAGAGAACTTTGAAAAATAGACTTGAAACTGACATGCTGTTTCTATCCTGCTTGTGAACCAGATTTCTGGTTTGCATCATCTTTGCAAACAACTTCTTAGAACCAGAATAAAATTCTAATAACTTACAAAATATAGTGTATTGTACAGCTGCTCAAAGGAGTCCTTAAGATGGGATACAGTGAAAATTGACCAGTCTTGACAAATCCACTGGAGCTTATCATCAGGAAAGATGACAAAAAATAAAAGCTGAGACAAAGATGAAGTCATGGAAAATAAAGGGCTATAGGATCATAGGGGAGGCAAACAGAGAGGAAGAATGTTCGTTCTCCTTTACAAGTGGTAGGATGGGGTTGGACTTCAATTTTATGAGACACAAAGGCTAAAAACTCTGTTTTTAAAAAAGTTATGGTTTAGATTCTGTAGAAGTTGATGTCACTGGTCTCTACCTCCATGTAGGCAAGTTTCATATTTGCCATGAATTGGTAGCTTTTTCAAGCCCTGGCTACAGGTAAAAAAAATATTCTTAAAAGTTAAGGGACTGTATGCATGACAAACTGAAGTCTTCTATTTAATAAGTTTAATTAATACAGTTCTATTTTATATAATGCCAATCACCATATTATTTAGGCCCTTCAAGCTACTCAGTCTTCTTTCCTCTTTTGTTTGTAATAAGTTTTACAGCATTTAAGCTATAGTATATTTTGTTTAATCTTTTATTCTTCACAGTGCTTTCAAAGTGAAAACCCTGGACTGCTTAAGTGAATGACAGACACATGGTATGTAATCACATTAAACACCTGCATGCTTCTGATGTATTGTGAGGCACATGGCCACAAAACCAATCCTGAGATGTGGGTATGACATATAGCTAGACTTCTTGAAAAAAATATGATTTTATAAGAGTCATTTTATTTAAAAATCAAATAAAACACTACTTTTTGGAATAGATGGCTAACACGTCTTGAAGTATTATGAGCGCTTAGATTTCTCCTTGCTTAATATAAAATGTATAACAAGTTGCTTAATGCATACATAATGCAGTAAATTCAGCATCCAAAATGAGTGTAGTAAGCCATATTTTCAGAACTGAATAGGTGGTTATGTATTTTTCATTTTCTGCTTGAAGTATTAGGCACTGGCTCCTGCTAGATGTATGACAACTGACTAGATGGATCCTACGTTTTTATCTTAGTATGGCCAAGCCTACGCTCTTAACCAATTTCTTGGAAGGATAAAATTGTAATTTATCCCTTTCACCCACTGTATATGTAAGTGAAATTCAGTAATATGAAGTGAAGCTCATTTCTTTGTTCCAGTGGGGAAGCCTATGTTACAAATATCAGATTGCAACTGTGTTTAAATGGCTAAAATGTACATGGCCTTCATTTCTTTGGACTGTCCAGAATCCTCTAACAATACCAGTCTATTTCTAAATCAATGATCCCTTTTCCCCCCATATTAGTTTCATACCCCAATTTTTTTATCTTTCCAATTAATTGTCTCCTGGAGGTCAAACACCTCTCTGGTTATGGAGTCTATTTTCTGCTGCATGCGTTGATTCTCCTGCAGTAAATGGGAGGAGGGAAAGAGGAAAAAGAGACTAGTAAAGGAAACAAACAGATAAAGGAAACTAAATAGTACAAAATCAATCAAAGAGTCTGTAAGGATGAGAGTTTAAAAACATAGATGGCATCTTAGGCTAATATGACACCTTCCTTTTTCAATCACACAAGGATATTGTAATGTAACTAACTTTTTTTATACACTAATGTTATATGGAGTAGGCACTATATAAAATAACTTTTTGATAATGTATCAGCTGTATCTGTGCATTTCCATGATAGTTTCCACATAATTTGGAAGTAATATCCTTTCTAGAGAAAAAAATACCTTCATGATAGCTCTTCAGCAGAGTGTGTCAAGTATCACATGGACGTGACCTTTTTTAAAAGTTCCTTTCACTATGGACTGAAAAGTTATTCAGCTATTAAAGACGAGACTGGAACCACAGGCCTAGGCATAAATTAATGTAACCCCTTTTTATGTTAATTCTTATAAATTATGACAAATGCAATACGCTAAAGTTCAATGCCACAAAATTAAATTTAATTAAAATATAGCATTGATGCAAGATATTAGAAAAAAGTTAAAACACTGACTTTTACATTTCCTAGCCACTGACTTACCCTTGCAACCTCATTTACTGTAACAGAAAAAGGTATAAATATTACAATTGTCCGATATCAAAATGTTTGCAATGTATTGGATGCTAGCTATAGAAAGTTGAGAACAACATCTGTACCAGTGCAAAACAAGTGTATTTTGGTTGTAATATATTTGGGAAAATGTAATTCATCCCAAGTCGGTGGTCGGGTATGCAGCAAACAGAATACAAACAGGATGATCAGGAAGAAAGAACACGTTCCTTTGAAAAGGTGCATTATTTATGTATTCTGCTTTCAAAACATGGAAACTCTAGGACATAGTATTTCAGACTATGGATAAGTGTACTGAATCTTTTTTAGCACAGTCACACTGCAATATTTAGGGGTTATTTTTGGCCCAGTAAACTTAGAAAGTTAACCAAAACGCTGAAGTGTTGAAGGCAATACATGAACTAGTGTAAACATTTCAATTTCAGCTCGAGATATTTGTATTACAACAGTGGTTTTCAACCTTTTTTCATTTGTGGACCCCTAAAATATTTAAAATGGAGATGTGGACCACTTTGGAAATCTTAGACAGTCTGCAGACCCCCAGGGTTCTGTGGACCACAGGTTGAAAACCATTATATTACAAAATATGTAGTAACACAGTAAACATATTAGACATTAATGCCCAAGAAAACAAAACCACAATTTCTAAAGTGATCTGTAAGAAATGTTGCAAAAAGTACTTCTGTAACTCAAAGAACCTTTTCTAACTTTTACACTTGTGTGTGTTGACAGAGTATTAGGTTTATCACCTCCTGTTATAAAATGGAAAACAAATAGAAAGAAGGAAAGGAAGAAAGAAAGAAGGAATTGTGTATTTAGACAAAATAAAGCATCCAGCAATGAAATGCTTGTCAACTAATTCTATGTAATGCACTACTGTGGTCAGAGGTGGCCTTAGCATTTTTGGTGGGTCTACTAAAATTTTTCTTAGGCCCTCAAAATATAACTGATCCCAATCTGTTATAATCATGCCCCTCTATATGGGGCTAGCCTGAGGATTTTGGGGATGATTAGAGAGAATTCTTTGGTATCCCAACAAATCAACTCATTTTGCATCTGTGAATGGAGGAGGTGTCTGTGCTAAAACCAACTTCCTTCTGATCAAGAGAACCCCACTGGTGGTGTTGGGTTATGTGCATAATGCCAACATTTAGAAAAGTATTGCAATGAATAACTGTCTAAATAAGCTGCAAGTTCAGGTGCCCTTTGGCCCCCATTTTGTGAAGTGTCCATGTGGATCTGATGAATATAAGCATTTATATGCTGTTGCACTTTACAAAAGTAATAATCCATACCCTGTGAGGCAGTTAAGTATTCCAGATAAAAAAGCTCTACCAGAAAGGTTCAGTAACCCAGCTAAGGGCACAGAGGGAGTAAGTGTCAGAATCAGGATTAGAATATGCAGGAGATCCTTGCTCTCGGTGCTTAGTCTACTACATGTTGAGAAAAGACAGTTACAGTGTTCTTCGAGAGGTGTTGCTCATGTCCATTCCATTGTAGGTGTGTGTGCTCGCCACATGCACCGGTGACAGAAGTTTTTCCCTCAGTGGTATGCATAGGGGACCGGCTTTGGTGCTCTTTGGAGTGGCGCACATATGCTGTGGTATAAGGGGCACTGCCAGCAGAGTAGGCCTTTGGGGTGGGTGACCAGGGTGGCTGCCGTGGAATATTGATATGTGAAAGTAGGCGTCCTTCAAATCGAGGACGACATACCAATCTCCTGGATCCAGAGAAGGAATGATGGAGGCCTGGGAGACCATGCGAAACTTCAACTTCTTAAGATACTTGTTGAGGCCTTGCAGGTCCAAAAGAGGGCAGAGACCACCCTGGGCCTTTGGAATGAGAAAATACCAGGAATAAAACCCTTTCCCTTTCTGAAGTGTGGGGACTTCCTCTATGGTCCCGACTTGCAGGAGAGCTTGTACCTCTTGGGCAAGAAGTCACTCCTGAGAAGGGTCCATGAAGAGGAATGGGGAAGAGGGGGTGGGAGGGAGGGATTTTCAATAAACTGTAGGATGTACCCCACTGCCACAGTCCTGAGGACCCAGCGGTCCATTGTTATTGCAGCTCAAGCGGGGAGGGAGGAAGGAAGGAAGGTGGTTGAAAAACAAAAGGAGGTTAGGATCTGTCTGTAGACTGGGATATCATCCTTGAGCGCACCCTCAAAACACCCGCTTGTTACCCTGGGGGTAGTGGGAAGAGCCCAACTGGGAGGTAGAGCTGAATTGTTGGCCTTGCCCTTCTTGTGATAGGGCTCTGATCTGGCTTGACTGCTTGGTCTATGATGTTGTTGAGGTTTAAACCTCTTTCTAGCGGGGGCCGGTGTGTAGAGGCCTAGGAAGTATAGGGTAGCCCTAGAGTCCTTAAGCCCATGTAATTTTGTATCTGTCTGTTCCACGAATAGGGCCAGGCTGCCAAAAGGGAGGTCTTGGAGCGAAAGCTGGGCCTCTGTCACCAACCCAGAGGACATCAGTCACGATGCCCACCTCATTGCTGTGGCCGAATCCGCCACATCAGAGGCAGCCTGGAGGGAAGCCCTTGCCACCATTTTCCCCTCACCAAGGATGGCAAGGGGCTCTAGTTTGGACTCCTCAGGCAATGAGTCTGCAAATTTGAAGATTGACTGCCAAACATTAAAATCATACCTCCTGAGTAGAGCCTGATGGTTTGCCACTCAGAGTTGGAGGCTGGCAGACGAGTAAACCTTTCTCCCAAATAGGTAAAGCCTCTTGCTGTCCTTATTTTTGGGAGCTGGGCCTGGTTGCCCTTATCAATCTTTTTCATTGGCCGCCAAGACCACTAGGGAGTTCGGGGCTGGGTTGGAGTACAATATTTGAACCGCTTCCTGGGGACATATTACTTCCTGTCCACCCGCTTGGAGATGGGTGGGAGGGAAGATAGGATTTGCCACCAAGCTTTTACAAGCTTTACCACTCCATCATACAAAGGGAGTGCCACTCTGGACAGGGCCACCACAGCCAAGATGTCAAACAGCCATCAGTGGGTTCTGCCAACTCCTCTGCCTCTAACCCCAGGCTCGCTGCCACCTTCTTTAGCAGCTCCTGGTGTGCCCTGGCATTGTCCTGTGGCACTATCTGTGATAGTCCCACCACTGCCTCATCTGGCGAGGATGGGAGGAGAGGTGACCTCCACTGTGGCTGTGGGAGGCCCGGGGGCACCTTGCTCGGAACCTTGCATCCAAATCCAGGAGCAGGCAGGAAACGGTAGCTGACCTTCTCTCTGACACCCCTGATAGAGAGCGTTGCATGAGGGTCCCTGGGAAAACCCCCATGGATTCCAGAATTGCCATGGGGTGGGGCACATTGGCCCTGGGCCATGCATCAGCTGGCGGCCCTGGGGGAACCTCCCCAGGCTTGGCTGAGGATATCTGGCCCGAGGGACCCAGTACCTCCAAAGAGGAGGAGAAGAAACAGTCTTGTCTCGGGGACCACCGCAGTGCCGATGTGGCCTCAAAGTCCTCTTCCTGCCTGCTTCCGTGATGCTTGTGGCAGGGGGATTGGTACTGAAGCTCTGGGTCCGAGCTGTCTGCTCGGGGCCTGGTGGCGGAGCTCAGTGGATCGGCAACAGGCATCCAGCAATTGACACCTAGAGATCTGTGTCAGTACTGAGTCAGATGATCAAGAGCAGGATGATGAGGAGTGCCGAGTTGACCCAGGTGATTGGTGCTGCGTGGTTTGGTGATCTATGCCTCAGCACCAGGGATCGGCCACACCGTAACTCCAATGGGGTCCTTTGCCCCAGGGAGTGATATTTCCTGTCCAGAGACCAGTGTCATTCTGAGAACCAGTGGTGCATTGTGGCCCTGTATCTGCCATTGGTGCCATCCCATGGGGAACTGTTGCTTAGAGTCCCGCGAATAGGGCCAGGAACTTCAGTTGGTCTGGGCAGGTCAGAAGCGCCTCGCTGGGAATCGTCGCTTTGACGTCAACCGTCGCGGTTCTAGGGACCAATGCCGCACCGACAGGAACTGTGGTTCAGGTCCCAGTGCTGGCTTCCCCCTGGAGATGGCCACGTCTTGGCAAGGCATCAGGGACACCAGTAAAGACAAATGTCTTTTGCAGCCTGGAAGGCCTCCAGTGTGGACAGGACTTCCAGGTGCAGGGGATCTCTGCCATTACCTGGGGTGGGCAGTTGGTCCCTAGGAGGGCTCGTTGGTCTAGCTGGCAATGTCAGTGCCTGGCTGGGCTCTAGAGACTTACTGCCTCGCAAGGGCCTATCCTCTCCAGACTTTCCCTTTGCCATACAGAAGGTAAGGGAACGCCTCTCCCCAGGCGCTTCTTTTGCTTCTAAGCTGGTACAGGGGACTGGGACCAGCACCAGGAGGCCGGTGCACTATGCACCAATGCTGCCATACTTGGTGCAGAGTCCGAGTTTGGCAGCTCAGAACCCGGCACAAGGGCCGACTCCATGAGGAGTGCTCTTAATCTTATGTCCCACTCCCTTTTTGTCCTGGGATTGAAGCTCTTACAAATGCGACACTTATCGTTGATATGGGCTTCTCCACGAACACTTCAAGCAACTTTGATGAGGGACACTAATTGGCATAGGCTTCCGACTGCGATCACCAGACTGAAAGCCCAGGCTAAATCCCAGAGGGAACTGTCTAAGCTATCTATGACATTAACACTAACAGTTAAGACAACAAAGAATTACTTATCTATATTCAACACGAAGAGAAAACTACTGGGTAAGTAAGCGCCTGCTGAAGCAAGGAGACATTCCAGCACCATCACTGGTGGTGAGAAGGAACTGAGGGTGGAGGGGAGCTAGCAGTGCCCCTTATACCACGGCATATGTGCACCACTCCAGAGGGCGCCAGAGCCAGTCCCCTTCACATAGCACTGACGGAAAAACTTCCAGCACCGGTGCATGTGGTGAGCACACACACCTACAATGGAATGGACATGAGCAAGCACTCGAAGAACTACTGCCCCTTCTCCTGGCCAGAGTTCATACTGGCTGCATACATCAGTCTTAGCACCATAAGCTGCACCCCCATCAGTACCATAGCCTCCCACTACTGATCAGGGGTCTTCTCAAAAGTCTTTTGAGTTTCACAGGACCCAAAAGAATGACCCAGGCAACTGGCAGGGCAGTGGAGGAACTTGACGGGGAAAAAATGAAGAACTTTCAAATGTTACATCCTTGATTGGTGTATCTAATTAAGAGGGGTAGAAACTTAGAGTTTTTTCCTTAAATTAAGGCTGAGATTAGCTCTGACATTCCTTGGACCTACAATTTAATATGGAGTTTGCAGACAAGAAGCTGTCACTGGATTTTGAGAGCCAGTACCATGCCAATTGAAAACAATACATTCATGTACAATTACACAAACATAAGCCACAATGCAAACCTAATCAGCGGACATTCACAAACACTGAAATTCCCCCCATCCCCTTTTAAAATAAACTGTAAAACAAACATTTTTGGGAAGGCAAAGAAAGTTAAATTAATTTGAGGCTGGTGTCTGGGATTGGGATGACTGCCCAATATTTGGGTGTGATAGTAGAGCTGGAGCTCAAGCTACGGAAAATTGCCAGTCTATGAACCCATGTTTTGCATATAGAGGTATTAGATTTGTGTTCACACAGAAAGAAAAAAAAAAAGAAAGCATTGGTCTGAGGCCCAGTAATTAGATTTTTTTTTTTTTAAGTATTTTACAATATACAAGATAATTTTTTGAAAATTTCACGGGAACATTTCTAACTTTTAAATAAATTGATAAAAATTAAGATAGAATGGTAACTCAAATACAGAATAGATAAGTTTACATTCCTGTCACTACAACTGAACTTTTTGTTGCTCAAGAAATATAAGCTGGTATGTGTGTCTATTTTGTATAGGGGAAATACGTAGATAACCAAACTTGATATAGTCTATCTACATAAAAACAAAAGAACATAAGAACGGCAATACTGGGTCAGACCAAAGGCCCAACTAGCCCAGTATCCCATCTTCCAGGTGCCCCAGAGGGAATGGACGGAATAGGTAATCATCAAGTGATCCACTCTCTGTCACCCATTCCCAGTTTCTGGCAAACAGAGGCTCAGGACACCATCCCTGCCCATCCTGGCTAATAGCCATTGATGGACCTAGCCTCCATGAATTTTTCTAGTTCTTTTTTGAACCCTGTTATAGTCTTGGCCTTCAGAGCATCATCTGGCAAAGAGTTCCACAGGTTGACCGTGCGTGGTGTGAAGAAATATTTCCTTTTGTTTGTTTTAAATATGCTACCTATTAATTTCATTTGGTGACCCCTAGTTCTTGTGTTATGAGAAGGCGTAAACAACACTTCCTTATTTACTTTCTCCCTCACATATTTCCGTAAGTACAGCCATATGACTGACGTTGAATGTGTACAAACCTCTATTAGTTCATCTCTCTGACGAAGGCCCTCTTTAAGTTCATCCATCTTATGCTGTAGAATACTGCACGTGTGTTTCTGCCTTTCCAATTCCTATATTAAACAAATATCAGTTAAGCAGCACATGCTTTGTTGAAGGTTGGACACATACATTTTCAATATAAATTAAAATAAACATGAACATCAGTAAATAATAGTCTTAGCAATTATTTCCTGCCGCAGTTCAGACTCCTTAACAGTTAGAATATACAGTTTCAGGGTTTGAATAGTTTTCCAGTCACTAAGTAGCTAAACCACTAAACCTACTAGCTGGGAATGTGGGCAACCCACCAACAAGGTGTAAGTGCAATGAGCTGGTGAGAAGCTCACCAGATTATTGAATCTGCACAATGCTCTTTTTGTATTATATTTTCTAGCTGGTGTTGAAAAATTTGGGGCCTGGACCTTTGTGAAAAGGAGAAATCTAAGTGACTGACAAAATCATGATTCCCTCCCAACACACACTCTTACACTTACTTCAACAGAACATTCCGGGTCTTAATAATTTTCAATCATGATATGGCTTCTCTGTCATATCTGATTAAAATATAACCTCGCTATTCAAGGTAGCTACTGACCATAAGGCTCTATTTTCATTAAAAATTCAGTCTTGTATAATACAGTTTAATACACAAAATATCAGTACCTTTGACTTCTCTTCATTTTCCCTATAGAACTCTGCCATCTGCTCTTCCCTCTCCTCAATGACATCCTTTAGCGTATCCACTTGATAAATCAAATTGTTTTTCTCATTATCTAGCTGAGCATTGGAAACCATAGCTTTCTTATACTTCTCTTCAACTTCAGATAGAGAATCCTGCACAGATGTTAGAAACGTTAGCATTACTTTAACTGTTTGATGCTTCAGAATAAATGCTACATGTGAACATAATACTCAAGAGCTTACATTTGTTTTGAACTAAAATCATACCAACATTTTAATTTACTAAGTACTGTTTGAGGTCTTTCTTTAGAAATATAAATTAAATTATAGTAAGTTTCTATTATTTAGTTTATAGTGTTAATTGCACTGCAAAATTGTTGCAAATGTATGCAACAAATTACAGAATAACTGTTCACCTGCATTTTTTCCTGCACCACCCCTGGAACTTAGAATCTTACTATTATGTCTAACTTTGGAAGATGTAGGAGCTATTTCCCCCTTAACTATACATTTTCTTTTTTCTGTCAGTTTGTGTCACAGCCACAACATTTGTTCAGTGTTTGCATGTGTAAATGTTTTTAGGAATTCAGTAAAATTACAAAGATAAGAGCTAAAATGATTAACCAAATAAATCACCTAAAAGTATGAAAGAAAATCTCCCAATGATTAAGAGTGATTTTAACTAATAAGTTTATTTTGGCAGGTTAAAAAACCAGATACTTTAACACATCAACACCACCACAATCACTAAAATGTGCTTACTGTTTTATAGCTCAGAACTTAAGTTTTAATATGGCCACAGACATTTTAGTAATCATTCCATGTGGTTTTGGAGAAATCAGTGTTTAAAGAGAAGTTTTTGTGCCTCTAGCTGCTTAGCTCTTTTACCAGTTGTGGCATATGCATCTCATTTACTTTTTGGAGAACTCCACAGTTTTGATTCATATACTTGGTACTAATCTGTCTAAATAAGGTCTTTGGCTGAAGAGAAGGTGCATGTGCACAGTCTGCTATATACCTAGTCAACCACTCTTACCCAATTCTTCTCTGTCCTGAGGGTCAAATCGATCATGTAAACTCAATTTTCAAGCACAGTAGCAAAATGTCAACTATTCACATAATAGAGAAACTATTAGCCTACTTGTATCCTTGAAATATGCAGTGATCTCAATACAAGATAATTTTAAAGTGCAAAATCTCTGTATCATAGAATCATATACATTAGAGGTGGAAAAGACCTGTTAGATCATCAAATCCATCTTCTTGCCAGTGTAGGACTGTTCCCGTACTATACATTCTCTAGCGTTCTGTTGTCTATTTTTCAAAGTCGGAACTGATGGCATTTCCACCAATTCCACTTTCTGAAGGAGACTATTCCATAATCTAACACATTTTAATTATTGAGAAGCTGTTCCTTCTAGCCCAAATCTTCCTTTTCACAATTTCATCTAATTATGTCTACTCATACCTCCTCTTCCAATTTCCAGGATCCAGAAGCCCTGTGCTGGAGAAACACCATATCTCAAGCACCCTTCTCAGAACAAAAACTTCCAAATGCCATTCTGAATTAGAATGACAGTATTCGGAAGAAATTGGTATCTAGGGTCCCAGAATAATCGTGCATGGATAAATTCATAGATTAAATTTGCAGAACATGATGGTTTATGAGCATGATGAAAAAGCATTCATTTGTTCTATGTTTCACCACAAAAAAAAGGATATCTTCAAAGTGGAAGTCATACATATCAGAAAATGGAAAACCATAACAAATAAAAATTACAGGTAAGGAAATGTTTCATGCGTCTCCATACTCTGGAAAGTAGCAAACAGTAACCAGAGATTAAAGTCAGGGTGGGACAAAGAAAAACCAATTAAAATATAGATAAAAGCTTTATAACAACTATATACAAAGGAATTTCTAATTTTAGATTAAGAGTAGCATAAACACAACTTCTGTTGAGGTCACTATGACAATTCTGCAATGAATGGTGAAAGCATTAATTGTTGAAAACTAAGTGTCTGCCTTGCAGATCTCATCAACAGTAGCTCTTATTTCTTCTGCTTATGAAGTGGTTGTTTTTCTAGTTGAGCGTGCATTGAGTCCCTGACAGATACATTTATAAGCCTTAAAGTGTTTTTGTGCCCATGAAAAGAACATTAGTTTTATGTCATTCCTTAGTAAGATCAAATAAAGTTTTATGGCCCTTAGTATTTCCAAAGGATATATAGATGGGGGGTGGGGAGGAGGAAGAGAAGCTTAAATGGAAGTTAAAAGGAACAGACAAGAGTGACATACCTGCAAGCTGCAAGGAAACTTCTGAAAAACACAATAATAGAGGCTCACACAATATGTTTGCCCACCCCTCCACGGCAAAAGAAAAACACAGTAAGACGACCAACAACAAAAAAAAAGTACAAGAGGTGGCTAGAGATAAAGACATTTTAAAAAACTGGAAGTCAAATCCTACTGAGGAAAATACAAAGGATCGAACTCTGGCAAGTCAAGTGTAAAAATATAATTAGGCTGGTAAGAGTATGAAGACCAACTAGCAAAAGACAAAAACTAAGAGCAAAAGTGGTTAAGTGCATCAGAAGCAAGAAGCCCACCAAACTACCAGTGGAATCACAGGATAATTGAGATGCTAAAGGAGCACTCAAGGAAAACAGGCTGAGGAGAAGCAAAATGATTTCTTTGCATCAGTCTTCACTGCAGAGGATGTGAGGAAGGTTCCCACACGTGAGACCTTTTTTTAGGTGACAAATCTGAGGAACTGTCCAAGATTGAGGTATCAATAAAGATGATTTTGGAAAACTGATAAATTAAACAGTAATAAGTCACCAGGACCAGATGTTATTTACAAAAGAGTTCTGAGTAACTCAAATATGAAATCACAGAACTACTAACTGTGGTATGTTACTTATTGCTTAAATCAGATGACTGATGATTAGTCAACATAATGCCGATTTTTAACAAAGGCTTCGAAGGTGATCCTGGCAACTACAGGCCAGGAAGCCTAAACTTCAGTACCCAGGCAAATTGTTTGAAATTATAGTAAAGAATGATCAGAAACAGATTAACACAGTATACTGGGGAAGAGTCAACACGTAAAGGAAAATCATGCCTTGCCAAATCTATTAGAATTCTCTGAGGGTGTCAAATGTGGGGACCAGGGTGATATAATAAATACAGTATACTTGGTCTTTCAGAAAGCCTTTGACAAGGTCCCTCACCAAAGGCTCTTAGCAAAGTAGGCAGTCATGGGGTAAGAGGGAAGGCCCTCTAATGGATCAACAACAGGTTAAAAGATAGGAAACAAAGGGTAGGAACAAATGGTCAGTTTTCACCGTGGAGAGAACTAAATAGCAGGGTCCCCAAAGGATTCGTACTGGGACAAGTGCTGTTCAACATTCATAAATCACCTGGAAAAAGGGGTAAACAGTGAGGTAGCAACATTTGCAGATGACACTAAATTACTCAAGGTAGTTAAAATCCAAATCTGATTACAAAGAGTTACAAAGCGATCTCACAAAATTGGGTGACGGGGCAACAAAATGGCAGATGAAGTTAATTGGTGATAAATGCAAAAGTAATGCACATTGGAAAACATAATCCCAACTATAAATACAAAATGAAGGGATCTAAATTAGCTGTTACCACTCAAGATAGATAAGAGTGATTGCCAACAGTTCTCTGAAAACATCTGCTCAGTGTGCAGCAGCAGTCAAAAAAAGTAACAGAATATGAAGAATAAGAAAGAAAAATATCAAGGTCACTAAATAAATAAATGCTACGCCCATACCTTGAATAATGCATGCTCTTTGGTCACTCCATCTCAAAAGATGGACATTAAAATTGGAAAATAGTACTGAGAAGGGCAACAAAAATGATTAGGGGTACGGAACAGCTTCCATATGAGAAAAGATTCAAAAGACTGGGACTGTTCAGTTTTGAAAAGAAATGCCTAAGAGGGGATATCATAGAGGTCTATAAAATCATGAATGGTGTGGAGAAAGTGAATAGGGAAGCAGAATTTAACCCTTCACATAATACAAGAACCGGGAGTCACACCCATAGAAATTAACAGGCATAAAAGAAACATAAGTACTTCTCCACAAAACATAAAGCCAATCTGTGGAACTCGCAATGAGGGGACGTTGCAAAGGCCAAAAGTATAACTGGCTTCAAAAAAGAATTGGATAAATTCATGGAGGAAAGGTCTATCAGTGGCTATTAGCCAAGATGATTAGGGACGCAATCCCATGCTTTGGGTGTCCCTAAACGTCTGACTGCCAGAAGATGGGACTGGATGACCAGGGATGGATCACCTGATAATTGCTCTGTTCTGTTCATTCCCTCTGAACATCTCGCAGGACCACTGTCAGAAAACAGGATACCAGACTAACTGGACCATTGGTCTGAACCAGTATGTTCTCATGTTAAAGTAGAAAGATATTCTATTGGGGACAAAAAACCACAAATATCTCTGGCAAAACCTGCAAGTACAGGTCTTTAATAAAAGGGGTCCCTTTGTTCACGTATTTTTCTAGTTGAAGTGACTGCTGAAAAAAAGGGAAATTTTCTCATCATGAGGAAAAGGCAGGTGTCCAACAGAAAAAGACTTGGTGAGAGCTTGGAGGACAAAATTCAAATTCCACTGCGCAACAGGTTGATTTTTAGTTTCTGGTGCCTTAGCCCTGGTCTACAGTAGGAGCTGAGGTCGAATTTAGCAGCGTTAAATCAATTTAACCCTGCACCCGTCCACACGACAAAGCCCTTTTTTCAACTTAAAGGGCTCTTAAAATCGATTTCCTTACTTCACCCCTGACAAGGGGATTAGCGCTGAAATCGGCCTTGCGGGGTCGAATTTGGGGTACCGTGGACACAATTAGAGGGTATTGGCCTCCGGAAGCTATCCCAGACTGCTCCATTGTGACCGCTCTGGACAGCACTCTCAACTCAGATGCACCGGCCAGGTAGACAGGAAAAGGTCTGCGAACTTTTGAATTTCCATTTCCTCTTTTGCCAGCATGGGAAGCTGCAGGTGAGTGAAGAGCTCATCAGCAGAGGTAACCATGATGGAGTCCCAGAACTGCAAAAGAGCTCCAGCATGGACTGAACGGGAGGTATGGGATCTGATCGCTGTATGGGGAGA